GAGATCCTTCTTGACTTCTCAATTCTGATAAAGGATTTAGTGCCTGAATCTCCTGGTTGTGTTGATTTTTCCTTTTAATTAGAGAATAGCTAGTGAATAATACAAAATACTTTTCTATTGTATCAACTCATTCTGCCAATCTAGACCTAAAATGCTTTGGGGACTGACATAATCTAAAAAATATTATAAATGTTTTAATTTCCCTTATTTTATGCTACAATGTCTCCAATATTGCAAGTTAAAATTGACCTTAAAATATTTATATAAACAAAGTTCTTCGATCTGAGCACTTTCATCACTTTTAACACTTTATATAACTAAGAATATTTCATCCTTTACCCCATGAAAAACCAACTTGTTCCCGCAGACTGTCTAAAACTGAGCTCTAAACCGGTGGCTGCTGCCCTTGAAGCTGATTAGTAAAACACAAAGTACTCAACATAACACAGAAGTTGATCTAAACTGATAAAGAGCAGGAAACTCAGAGCTAAAGGTAAAACCAGCTCCTGACATGCCTCCTTGTTCCCTCCCATACTAAGGCACTCTTCACATTAGGTAACTGCCTATCTCATCTGGACTAAATACCAAAGTTGAAAGCATCTATTTGAGGGAGATGTAGTCTCATCCTTGAATTTCCAGATTTAAATCACTGTTGTCCTTTCTCATTTATTCTCTAAACTGGCAGCTTTTAAAGAGTAACCAAAGAAGGTTTCATATGGAAGAGGTAGTTGGGAGACAAGTATATCCTCCTCAATTGTGTGAAAAAGAGTATCTTTGAAGTTTAAATTTAGCAGCTATATCAGCCCTGACCTGAATATTAATAATGTCCAGTGAATGAAACTCGATTTACAAATAAAGCCTAAAGATAAGGAAAAAAAAATCAAGCTTATAGCTCTTCAAACCATCATTATTCAGCATCAAAACACTATGGTAAAGTTTTGAAAAATAAGTTTAGAACTCACCATAAGGATGAACTACTTTTTGCTCCTAATTTTGGCATTGACTCTAATACTAAATAAAGTTCCATCAGAATTATCCCTTGGTTTTCTTTTCAAACCTTCAGATTTTAGATCACATTCCACATTTAACCACTGAACAAGTCCATGGAAGAAAAAACTTACAAACAACAAAACAAATTCCCTTGTTTTAAAAAAAATTGTATTAGTTAGGGTTAATTGGGTAACTATAAAGAATTCTTTAAGTTGGTAAATACTTCATGTGGTCCATTTGAAAGTAATCACATTTAAAGAACATTTATCTTTAAATAAGTTCTGCGCACTACTACCATTATTTGCGCCCTGTTCATTCCAGATATTTTTTTACTCCTAAGAATGAAAGATATAAAATCTTTGAAAAACTATTTATCTCAGATTTAATCACATATCAGCCTTATTTAGAGAAGAATGACTCCTTTGAGTTACACAAGATGGCCAAGTTATTTTGAATCTGGGCCACCAAAAATTTTCCTTTGATTTCAGTCTCATTTCTGGAAAATGTTTAAAAGATAAAAATCATGAGCAGATAATACGGCATTTACGTCAGTAAGTGCAGGTTTATAATATATATGCAAGATAGCACCAGGAAACAATTCCATATATAGCAGCACCAGAAAGAATACTTAGGTATAAATTTTAACATTAAAAAGTACAAAACTTACACTCAAAATTATACAATGTTGCAAGAAAGATTAAAATAAAATGAAAAACACCCCATGTTCATGGGTTGCAAGAATTAATGTTAAGATAGCATTACTCCCCAAACTGATTTTCAGATTCAACACAATCCCTGTGAAAAATCCCAGCTAATTTCTTTGCAAAAATTAACAAGCTGATTCTAAAATTCATATGGAAATATAAAAGATCTAAAATAGCTAGTAATCCTGAAAAAGAAAAAAATAAAAGGAAAAATAAAACACCCGATTTCAAAACTTAATACAAAGCAATAATATTCAAGACAGTGTGGTACTGGCACAAAGACAAACGTAAATCAATGGAATAGAATTGAGAGTCCAGAAGTAAACCCATACACATGCTTAAGTGATTTTCGAGGGTGCCAAAACAATTCACTAGGGGAAAACTGTCTTAACAAATGGCAATAGAACAACTAAATTACACATCCACATGCACAAGAATAAACTTGAACCTCTCACACTACATGCAAAAATTAACTCAAAGTGGATTAGAAACCTAAATGTAAAAGTTAAAATTATAGAACTCTTAGAAGAGAACTATACAGGAAAGTCTTCATTTCATTGGACTTGGTAATGATTTCTTGGATATGACAGCAAAAGCCCAGGCAACAGAAGGAAAAGAAATTGGGCTTCATCAAATTAAGGACTTTCGTGCTTCAAAGGACAGGGTAGGTGAAATGACAACTCACAGAATGGGAGAAAATATCTGCAAATCTTATCTGATAAGGGACTATATCCACAATATACAAAGAGATTTTACAACCCAATGATAAAATGATAAATGTCCCAATTTAAATAAAAGAGTTCTATCCCTGGCCAGGGAGTAGAACCACATGGCACAGCAGACCTCTCCTGTCTCGCCTACTGCTCCCCTCAGCAGTGTATTTCAGTCAATCTGCCTATTCTGTTCCCCACTCTGTCTCTGGTGAATCCTCTCACCCTCCACATCTCTGGCCTGCACTCCAGTTCTTGTATCCACAAACAAATAAATCTTTGGGGAAAAAAAAAGGACAGGCAATTTTCAAGGAAGATATACAAATGTTCAATGAGCACATAAAAAATGTTTATAACTAATCATTAGGGAAAAGCAAATCAATCTACAATGAGATACAACTTCGCATCCATTAGGATGGTTATATATTTTTAAAATCCACAGAAAATAACAAGTATTGGTGGCAATGTGGAGAAATTGGAATCTTTGTGCATTGTTGGTAGGACTGTAAAATGGTGCAGTTGTTGTAGGAAACAGTATGGCAGCTCCTCAGTAAATTAAACATAGAATTACTATATGAGACAAACAGTTCAAATTCTAGAAGTGAAAGTAGAGCCTCTTAGAAATATCTGCACATTCCCGGCACCATTATTTAAAACAGCCAAAAAGTAGCAACAACCCAGTGTCCATGAAAATTGATGGATAAACAAAATGTAGTATATCCATACAAAGGAAATTATTTAGCCATAAAAATGAATGAAATTCAGATACATGAAACAAAATAGATAAATCTTGAAATCATTATGCTACATGAAATAAGTCAGACACAAAAGAAATACTGCCTACTTCCACTCATATAAGATACCTAGGTCATTCAAAATCATAGAAACAAAGCAAAAGAGTGGTTGTCAGGGCTGGAAAGAAGGGAGAATGGATCCAAATTATCAGTTTAGGATAAAAATTTGTGGAAGTGTGTGGTGGTGATGGCTGCACAACAATATAAATGTACTTAATACCACTAAATCAAACACTTAAACATAGTTGGGATAGTAAATCTTGTTAAATCTATTTTACAACAACAACAACAACAACAAAAAAATGATAAGACAACCCATAGTACAGGAGCAAATACTTGGAAGTCATATCCAATAAGGGACTTGTATCTGGAATGTATAAGGAACACTTCCACCGCCATAAAAATACAAATAACCCAGTTAGAAAAGGGCAAGGGATCTGAACATTTTTTCAAAGAAGATATACAAATAGCTAATAAGTATGTGAAAAGATGCTAAGCATCATAGTCATCAGAGGCGTGCAAGTCAAGATGGAGAAACCCTCAAGCACTGCTGGTGGGAATGTGAACTAGTTCATTTGCTTTGGAACACAATCTAATAGTAAAAAATTCCAAATTAGCATGACCCAAAATTCTACAAGTTTACAGCAAAGAGAAACAAAAATATGTTCATAAAAAATTGTACATAAAAATTTATATATGAAGATTTATATTAGCATTATGCATAACAGTCCAAAGGTGGAAACAACCAAAATGTCCAACAAATGAACACATACACAAAATGTGGTATAGGCATACAGTGGGTTATCAGTTGGCCATAAAAAGAAACTGATACATGCTACCACACATATGAACCCTGAAAACTAAGCAAAAGAAGCCAGTCACAAAAAAATCAAACATTAGGGGCTTCCCTGGTGGTCTAGGGGTGAAGTCTCACAGCTATGACCGTAAAGGCCCCATCTCTGGCCAGGGAGCTAATCCAGAGCTAACCCAGAGGTCTGGCACAGCAGACCTTTCCTGTCTTACCCACTGCTCCCCTCCATAGTGCGTTTCAGCAGATCTGCCTGCTCTGCTCCCCACTCTGTCTCTGGTGAACCCTCTCACCTCCCTTACCCCGAACCTCTGGCCTACACCCCAGTTCTTCTACACATAAATAAATAAATCTTTAACAAAACAAAACAAATACTATGTGATTCCATTCATATCAAGGTGCAGAATAGGGAAATCTTTAGAAAGATTTTGCTGCTTAGGGCTAGGAAGGAGGTGAGAGCGGGTAATAAACTAAAAAATACTGACTTGTACACTTTAAATGGGTAAATGATATGTAAACTCTATTAAATAAAGCTGGTTAAACAAAAAGGTCATTTACAACAATGAAAAGTACTTTTTGCATCTAGGAGTCACTTTTTGTAGATTTGAGTTTTAGCAGCTCTGAAACCGGAAATCACTACATCCTTCCTAACTTTGTGCCTAGGGCTCTCTCAAGGTAGATTTATTGACAACTCACATAAAAGCCCTCAGATCCAAACAAGGCCCCCTCTGTAATATAACCTAGTCACTGGCAGTTTATTTTAGCTGGAGCAGTCTTAAATCCACTGGAAAGAAATCTGTGGGGTGTTGTGATGAGAGCTGAGAGAAATTGGCACAAATGAAAAAGAAAAACAAAGAGGCAAAAAGGCTCCTTGACTTCCTTCCACAGGGTCAGAGGTTTTAAACATATAAAGAAAATACACTTTAAAATCTTGAACATTGTATTTTCTTGGAAAAATCTGCAAGGTAATTTCCTGTAAATAAATGGGGCCAATGTTACATTGCTTTATGTGAATAAACTGGTTTATACTAGCCATCTACAAGTACTGAACACCCTAACACTACAGAAATAGGTTACATTGCATACTTTCAAATCCTAGTGAATCTTAATCAGGATTAAGGTAGAGAAGGTCGTCTTTCTTTTACTCTAAAAAAGTGGTTCAGCCTAGACTAGCTTTCAGACACACTACCTTTCCCTTCTAAATGCCCATTTAAAAGCAATCTTTAATAAAACACACGCTTCCATACACAGAACGGCCACTGTCAAGAATTTATTCATCCACTAAATTACACAACAGCATTGATTTATCTGTGCCATCCAAGATTTGTTATTTTTTCCCCCTCACATCAAAAACAAGACTCCCACAAAAAGGAAAAAAAAAATCATTCAGGGAAAAAAATTTAAAGCTCTTCAAAATAATCACATTTCATTTGCATGTGGAAATTAAAAAAAAAAAGCCAATAGTACCCCTTTACAGTGATAGAGGCCACAGAGGCACTCATCTATAACACATGCCGCATTATATTTAGAGATATGAATGACAAGACACTTTCTCCTGAAGGCACAGATAGGCACATGGCATTTGCTTTGCCAGAGAGGTTCAAAGTCATAGTTTAGTGGACCCTCTGTTAACGACAGGTGCATTTAGTGGCTATCATATCTTCATATTCTTTATAAGCGATTGAGCCGTCGGGCTCAATGGTCAAAACACTTAAGGGGCTGTACTTGGCAGGTACACAGGATGGTTTTGGCACTGAGGAATCGAGCTTTTCATAGATGATGTTCTGCACCATGGTGTGAACTGGAGAACCATACCGATGCCCAACCGCCCTGGGACAGTCCCCTTTACAGTACCGAGGGTTGTACCTGTGTGGGGCCACAATCCAGTTGTCCCACTTCAGCTGACTAAAGCTCAGTCTGAATTCATGCAGCTCACACTCATTTTGAGGAAAGAGAAACTGTTTGAAGTATTCACTCAGATTGAAAGAAGCTGGAACCAGAGGCTTTTTCAAGTCAGAACTCACAGTTTCCTTGTCTCTCCGGTGACGGGAGGATCTTACACCCTCAGAGGCCTCTTCTTCCCTGGAATAGGCAGACAGAACTCTCTTCTGGTGAGGACACTGTGAGGGTCTCCTTTTATGGTGGAGGGAATACCATCTGTGATAGGCCTGGGCACTTGTGTCGTTCAGATATAAAAGCAGGGAGGGGGGCGTAGGAAGAGTCAAGTTAAACGGACGGTCCTGTGCAGAAGGCCGCTGGTCCTTCACGCAGGTAAAATCTATAGACATGTGTATACTTCTCTTGTTGGAAGCCACTAAAGGCTGAAGGAGAGTGGTCACGTCAATCTCAAGCCATTTGTGTTTCTTTCTAAATTCAAACTGTGAGCTAAAAGTAAGTGAGTATGGAGCTCTGGGGAGAGTCTTGTTAGAAAATTCTGACTCTTTTATCATCAAGTTGCACAAACATTTAACAGCAGAGGGGAAAGACACTGAGTTGTTGAAAGTATACAGCAAGACTGACTTGAGCAGGCGTTCAACAGCAGTAACACGATCCAGGCTAAACAGCAGGTCCACTGACGGAAGGGCTCCTGAGAAGAAAAACAATCTACTGGTAGAGCATGAAAACAAATCAAACATAATAGGATGTCAAGGAATAAGTACTTCGTAATATGCTTTCTTCCCTTCTCCCTCCCACCACCTTCCTCAAACCATAAAAAAGGAGGGTGGGGAGTTAGGAGGAAAACCAAGGTAATTGATACCGTAACTAATTCCCAGCAAATACAACTGGATATTTTATAACCATAAAGTCAAAACAGTACTGGTGGTAAATTAAAGCGACATGGAATCATTACAATTTAACGTTTTAGAAGGTGCCAAACATAGAGGAAATAAGGAAAGCAATAGTTTTCTCTTGGATAGTTTCTCAAAGGAAAACTATAATAAAAGATACTTAAGAGGCTTGTTAAGACAATAGTCTAAGGCTAATGGGCAGAGTCAATGAAGAAAACTTAATTGTCTGAGTTAATTTGCAGCACTTGAGATTGACAACAAATGGAGGCTGAAAAACCACTACAATAAAACAGGACATCAAGGAAGAAAAAAGGTTTTATATAGCCACAACAGACCTGTTCAATTAGAATGGTTTTAAGTCACACATTCATGAATATATCTTTTAAAGTACTTTCACACAACACTGAGCTTTTCAGATTGACTAACACTTTGTGCTTGTGAGGACCTGCTGTTCCAAATGGAAACTTAAGCTTTCCTCTCACAGAAAGCAACAACCAGGGGAAAACATCCTGTTTAACAAATCACACCAATAACTATGAGATATTGTGGCACACTTCCAGCTCAGCATTGGTAGGCTGGGAAAAATATGAACTGTAAGTCAAAATTTAGTCTGGATTTTATAACCTTGGGCAAGATGCTGAATTCAACAGTCCTTTTATGCTCAGCCTTTGGAGCCACTAAGTCTCTCCTCGTTTGAAAATTCTATCATTTTAGCCAATCTAAACCAACAACGCCAATAGGAAGAAATGATAAAATCGAGTACCAGATTTGCTTGAATGTGGACACTGAGTAACACCAAGTAAAATGCAATTTAAGAAACGAGGCCCAGCTCCTGTCTGTAACTGAAAGGCAGAAAACTCCATGATCTTCCCTCCACCCATCAAGCAATCTGTTCCTACACACCTGTCACCTGCTTGTGCTGGGCACAGGGGGTGAAGAGCCGAACAGTGTTGTAGAGGTGACTTCTGTTGGATTTAGGAATCCCCTCCTTGGTAGCATATGCCTTATAGAGTCTCTTCATGTAGCGCAAAGCTCTGGAGTCAGGTTGGAGCCTGGGGGCCCCACCTTGCCCATCATATAGAACCTTGAAGAGAGGGGAAAGGAGGCCAGATCTGCCTTTCCCATCTAGTGGCCAAGATTCGGCCCCAGATTCCAACTCAGAACTATTTGTAAGATGAGCATCTGCCCTAGAAGCCTGCAAACCAAGGCTAATGGAAAAACAAAGCCAGGCAAAGCAGTAAAACCAAAGAAAGAATTTGCTGGGAGGTGCCATGGCTTGGAAGAACTAGCAGGGAACACATTTCCCCACAACGGTCTGCTTCCTAAAAGCCAGGAAGAGCCCCGTTTGATCTCTTAAATAAAATTTAGCTGTGGGTGGAATAGGGCCACTTCTGTAATCAGACCTCAAGGATACCTAGCTGAACTTTTTATCAGCTGTATATCACACAGCTGACAATGCCCTCGTTATCCAATTTGTCCTCATTAGATACAAACTTATTTGGTTATTTAGCTTTCCTCTCTTCCCTTTCGTGGCATTTATTTTATTTTATTTTATTTTACTTTTTTTTATAGCTGAATCTTTTTTTTTTTTTTTTTTCAAAGATTTATTTATTTATTTATACAAGCACTGGGTACAGTCAGAAGCGCGGGAGGGTGAGAGAATTCACCAGAGCCAGAGCGGGAGCAGAGCAGGCAGAAGGACCGAAGGACACTGCTGAGGGGAGCAGAGGGCGGCAGGAGAGGTCTGCGCGCCATGTGGGACCCTCCTCCAGTGGCCGGGGAGCAGCCGGGGATCGAACTGGCGCTGCAGAGGGTGCGGGCAGCTTCGCAACCCAGCGCTCAACCGCTGCGCCACCAGGGGAGGCCCTCGTGGCATTTATTTTAAATCTTTGAAATGGACAAGCTATATAGATGATCACTTAAGAGAAACTGAGGAATGATCTTCAAATAAAACCACCCATTCTTTGGGAGAGAGAAGGATTCTTAAAATGTTCTGTAGGTGCTTGCTGAAACTTCCAAGGCCGGTGGAAAAGCTAACTAATTATTCATGATGATGCACAGATCTGTTGTATGCAATTGACAGGATTAGGTTTACTCTTCCTCTGACTTCAACCTCATCACCTTTCCCACTTTCAGGTGCTTAGAATAATTATTTACTGCAAGCTAATTTGGAGGGTGAGAGAAAGTCACAATTGGCATTGAGATTCCAGAGAGCAGAGAACTGTTAGGTTGCCACGTAGACTATGTACTTGGAATATTGCAATATGCTTTAAAAAAGGACACCACCTTTAACCTTACTCACTTAAAAATATATCTTGATGTCTTTGCTTTGCACATTCATTTATACATATTTTAGGTGAAAGTTTTTGCGATGCTGGCAGGTACTAGAAAATGGGAATTTTTTCAAAATAATCACACAACTAGTGGTAGAACTCACTGGGATATTTTTGTTCTTAACTGTTGTAAGAATTTATGTTCTTGCCTTGCAGCTGAGACTAGGCTAGAGATGATGCCTTAGACAAATGAGACAAAGGAGCACCGTGAAAAGCTGACATGAGGGGACCTCCAGGGCCATCATCCCGAAGGGCACTATTTGCTGGGAAAAAGTCAACCCACACACAAAAAAAGAACCAGTTTGTGCAGTACCTCGGTTGAGAAAACTGAGTTATGTTTGCAAGATTTAAGTTTACTGCCCGCCGAGACTCACTTGCCCAAGGCTCTCAAGCAGGTTATACACACCCCCAAGCGCTGACGGACAGCGTACCCCTAAATTACATGTAGTCAGCAACGCCGTGAGCACATTTCCACACACACTGCATCGGGTAGAACCACCAGCCGGCGGCACAGGACGGCAGCAATCTCAAGTAGAAAGCACTTTCCGAAAACACAGAAACGCCTCAGAAGTCAGGTCCCTCGCCTCGGAAGCAGAATGGGAATCGTGGGCACCATGGCCACCCCGACCCCAGGTCAAACCCTCTGCGGGGGCACCTGGCTGCTGCCTAGATGGTCTCTTCCTCCTCCTCCCAACGCCAGTACCAGCCGCTCGGCAACTGCTTGCAATCATATTGCGGCCGAATTTGAGGGGGGAGGAAGGTTATTATTATTTTTTGGAAACCCTGCCAGTGGAGTCTAAGGCAGCGGCTGCCAGCAGAAGCCCCAGATCAGTGGCACAGATTTTGGTCCTGGGGTCCCTGACAGTCTGGAAAAACACCGCGCCCCGCTCCAGCCGCTGGGCCAGAAGCTGCAAAGCCTTGCGTTGGGCAGCCGCGCGGCGGCGCCTCCTCGGGCTCCGGGGCGCTCTCCGCCGTCGGGGAACTCGCCAGGCCCTAAAGGCCCCGCCAACGCGGCCCCCCAGTTTAGGGGGACCCCTTTCACGTCACCTCTTTGCCCCCCTCGGCGCCGACCACTTCCTGCGGCTCCACCGAAAGCGGGGAGCTGGGGGCTGAGAAGTGAGGAGCTGAGGGACGCTTCGGGGCCCCGAAGCCCGCTCAATCCCAGAGGCGGTCGCCGGGCCCCCCCCCGCCCGGGCCCCGCCCACCCACGGGGTCACCGGGTCGGGGCACTTCTCCCCGGGACGGGGGCAAGGGCCCCCTCCCCTGGCGACCACGGGAAAGTGGTGTGCCCCGGAAGTGACTTCATGGCCGCCTAGAGCGGCTGCCGATCCTACCGGAAGTGGCGGACGGAGGCCGCTGGATCCCGCTATTGTGGAGGGCGAGGTGACCCTGGTGCGAGAGTGGGGTTCGGTCGCGCGGTCATGGTGGCCACTGGGAGGGTGGGGGCGCCGCCTGGGTCGCGGGGGAGGAGGGGCGTCGGGAGGGCCTCTCGGGCTGGAGGCGGCGTGGGCTGGACCGAGCGGGTGACTGTGTCTGCTCTTGGTCCTGTAGGCGCCGCCGCCACCATGGGCCGCGAGTTCGGGCATCTGACGCGGATGCGGCATGTGATCTCCTACAGCTTGTCGCCCTTCGAGCAGCGCGCCTTCCCGCACTACTTCAGCAAGGGCATCCCCAACGTGCTGCGCCGCACTCAGGCCTGCATCCTTCGCGTGGTCCCGCGTGAGTGCCCTGGCCCGGGGGGCGGGCGGGACGCCCCGCTGCAGCAGGCACTGGGGGCCCTTCAGCCAGCACTGGGCGGCGGGCGGTCACTGCAACCTGCTGTCCACGCGATTTCTCGCAGAATATTCTGACGGCCCTTGAGCTAGTCCCATCATTCCGCCCCCCTCAGATGTGGAATCTGAGTCACAGAGAAGTTAAGTGACTGGCCCAAGGTCACTCATGTGACTCCAACGTCTCCCTCTGAGTCATTTTTACCTACTTTTTTCTGAACGATGAACTGTTTTGTGTTAAATGTGCAGCAGGTGGGGGTGATAATTTTACAACATTGTGAATGTGCTGCAAACTACTGAACCCCATTTTAATGGTTAAACGGTGAGGTTCATGATATGTGAATTTTGTCTGTTATCTCATTAAAATATTTTAACATGTGCAGCAGGGGGGAAATGGAAGTTTTGGAGACAGAATTTCTTGGCTAGTCCAGGAAATAGGTAGACCATTTTGATCATCTGTAGGGTAAGAATAATGTAATCTTTCTTGGTTACCTGGTTTAAAAGTTGTTTCTTGAAATCTGGAGACAGGAGGGCAGAATCCTGGGCTTTATATATGCGCAATGCTGACTCTTTTTGACTTTTACAGCTTTTATAGGGTTTTACCTAGTCTACACATGGGGGACTGAAGAGTTTGAGAAATCCAAGAGGAAGAATCCAGCTGCCTATGAAAATGACAAATGAACAACTCACCTGGAAAATGGTTCCGTGTCACTGAAAGGCCCTTCTCTGGGAGCAGAGTCTACACTGTAGTGTCTTGAAGACACAATAAACTTCTCATGGGTGACACTTGTGATTTTGCCTTTTTGTGAGCAGAGTTCATGGTGTTTGTAACTGCTCGTATTCAAGTTCATGAACTCCCTTCCCCAGAGTGAGTCATGAATACTTTTGGCTGTTCTGGGGTTTGATGAATGAATGAGGGTTGCCCCTTGTTCTGTAAGAAAGTAGCTGTAGCTATTCCTGCATCTGCCAAGTTAATGAGTGGCATGGACTGTGGGGTAGAGTTGGCTCCTGACCTTCTACTCCCATAGTAACAAAATCTAGTAACTGTATTTTAATTTCTTTATGTTAAGCATTCCTCTTAGCTTTGCACAGATGAGCTCTTTTAAACCTCACAGCTTCCTTTGAAGTATCATTATACTCATTTTGCAGATGAGGGCAGAGACACAAAAACAGGATGTCATTTTCCAAAATTACACAACTAGCAGATGGACTCTGCCATTCTCCCTAACATCAGCCTTCCTTTGTCTGAGGGGAGCTCAGATTTAAAAGGGCGGGGAAGAGGTGACCCTGTGGCCTTTAGAGTATTGTCTCCCTGTACCAGGGACCAAATAGTGGTTTTAAAGTATGTATTGCCCATAAAGCTTAAAATACCCTCTGAGCTCTTAAGGAGAGTAGTAACCCCTTTAAATTACCTTTTTAGTAGAAAAAGTACCTTTTCCCTCTCACCAGGAGGTGGCAGGGATAGGTGTTGGCAGGTTTATTATGCTTCATTTATAGAAACTTCTCATAAGGCACATTCTACTGGTCTTGAGCAACTTTAGTGTACTCAGGCTGTTATCTTCTAATGATGGCTCTTATCTTTTAGGAACCAAAATTAAAATACATCCCCCCAAAACTGGTGAGATAAATTGCATTGATTGTGTGGGAGGAAAAGGAGAAACAGCTGAATTTGACAAAGTTGAGGCCATACCCTTGAACTGTTACTTCTGTGTGATACAGGTAGGAAACCTGCATTCCTGAGCTTTGAATTTCTCCCCCATAAAATAGATATGTTAATACAAAGCCATAAGGCTCTTGTGAAGTAAAGAGAGTGATAAATGTCTGGCAGGGTGGTACAGGCTTAATCTGCATATATGATGAAAACTTCACTCACCAAACATCCCATGTTACTGTTTGTTCAAATTTATTCTCTGTGCTTCCTGATCTGCAACATAGTTGGGTCTTAGACTCCTTTGAGAATCTGATGAAAGGTTTATGGACCTTGAAGAAGTTAAGGACCCATCCTTAACTTTGCATAGTTTCAACTGGTTCACAGGCCTTGTACTGCCTGGCAGGCTGCTGATCACTGTCTCCCTCTGATTCTAGCCCCAAGCTTCCTAGGAGAGAGGATGGCCACCGTCTTCCATTCTTGACTATATTTTCCCTTTACATTTTATTTCTTTGTGGTTCTTTGACCCCTTTGGAGATACTCTCTCAAAATCAAACTTACTGATTCTCAGCTCAGATTAGGCACTGAGCCTGTTGGTCGGAATCCTTTTTAATCTAGGAATAACTTCCTGAAAACACCCTGCTGTAAACTTCCATTGCTGAGCTTTTGCTTCTGGATAAAATTTGCAAAGGCTGCTTTTTATTTTTTTTTTTCCCTGGTCAGAGCAGATTTTATTGTGGTGCGGGCTGGCCGCCCCCGCGCGCCCCCACCACGGCCCCCGGGAACGCTTGCACAGCCCGCCAGCTCCCGAGGGGGCGGCAGCCAGCGGGAGCATGCGTGCGCGGCCTGGCCCAGGGCGGCGGGGTCCTGCAAAGGCTGCTTTAAGTCTGTCTGACCAAGGAACTTCTCTTGTTAACCTGGTGACACAGAACTTGCCTGTGGAGAAGAGTACTGAGTTCAGTGCTGCTGTACATGGTAAGGGATTTGGGATCATTTTGAGAGATCATGCTATCTGTAGAAATCCATAAAGAGAAGGAAAATGGATCAAGTCTTTTAAGGAAGTAAGAGGGACTGCTGCTGTATGTGACAGCACCTGTCACCTAGCCACACAGAATCTCCCACCCCCAGTGTGGCTCCACCTACAGCTAGGACACTACCACTTGATCATTTCCACTTCCTTGTCTTCAACCTTGTTCCTGCCCCCACAGAAGCTTTATCTCCGGGCTGCAAAGTGTGTCAATGGCAACTCTCCAGTCTGCCAACGTAGTCCCAAGATGTAGGACTACCTAGTGCAGGTCCAGAGGTCTGTGCCAGTTCCACCTAGGAAAAAAGTAAATATACTTTGACCCTTTGTTGAAAAGCTTTGCCTGGAAAAGTCTTTTTATTTCAGAATTTCTTCTTTTATTAGGCATTGCCAGCCCAGGAGCAGTGAAAGGGTTCCCAATTAGTGTAGAGCAGTAATGATTAACCTGGAATGTGTTTCCGATAGCTGCTTGTGTAGCTACACCATCTTCCATTTCATCCTAGATACTCAGAAGCAGCAAAATCCCTAGGGGCTTTATTGCATTATGAATATATAAGCTATCACATTTCTTCAGTCTCCTTTTCTTTTTGTAAACGAATACTTTGAACCCCCAATGTCAGTGCCTGAGAGGTCTTGGGGATCTATTCCCATATCATTGATAGAAAGAGACTAAAGTCCAAAGAGGGGAAGGGCTGGGTTGTGGTCATTTACCTACCTATGTCCCAGGCTTCTATGCTTCAGCCAAGCATTCTTTCTTTCTTTTTTTTTTTTTGGTGGGACCCTCGCCGATGGCTGGGGAACAAACCGGCGCTGCAGAGGCCACAGGCAGTCTTGTAGCCCAGCGCTCAACCGCTGCGCCACCAGGGGAGGCCCCCAAGCATTCTTTCTCATGGCTAAAATTGTTAAAGGGTTGCTTAGACCTTACTGTTGGAGGAGGTAACATATATTTGTTACAACCTTCCCCCCCCCAAAAAAAAACAAACCTGCAGAGTACCCATGAATTGAAAAAACTTTTTTAAAAATTTCATAGACCTTCACAGGTATGTAAGGGATGGCTGTGATCAACTGCTATCACTTCAGCTTAATGTCTGGCTGCTGCATTGCTTTTATGTTTTGATATTTGCTTCATATTTAATGTACATGTGCAAATTATGTAAAATTTATACTAACTACCATTAGTATAGACATATATTGCTGTACTGTCCCTAAAAGTGGTTCCTTCCACAGGCAGTAACTTGGGTGGGCCTTTCGTGGTGGTATGTAAGATAGAGGCTCTAGCCACAAAGGCTAGGGATGAGGTGACCCTGTAGCCTCTAGAAGGTGTTGTCATGCTCATGACAGAAGGTCTTTGTCTCCCCTAAGCACAGGGACCCAGAACCTCAGGCTCTTCCTTTGGCTTTGGTATCGGCTTTATAAGTGCACAGATGGCTAGTCTGATTTTGCTTGGCGTACAGGAAGGCACAGGAGGAGGATTAGAAGTACCCACTTTTCGAATGAGCAATTTCCAAATCCCTTCTGGCACATCACTCTCTCCAGGCTAAAGGAAGACTGGCACTGAGTCCACAGGCCTAACTGGCTCTAGGACATCACGTTGCTCATTCTTTTGCTTACTAATCGGATTTGTGTTCTTACCCAATGTCCACTAGGTCACCACATAGTCTCTTCACCACTCCACAGAAGTTCCTGGTTAGGCCCCTCCTGGGAGTTGGTGGGAGTGGGAGGGTGGTCACTCAGTATCCAAGCTCAGGGGTAATGGGAAGAAGCAGCTAGTCTCATAACTTGCAAAAATCAAAACATAAAAGCAATGCAGCGGGCAGACATTACAAGCTGAAGTGATAGCAGTTGTCTACAGCTATCCCTTACATAACTGTGAAGGCATATGTCAGAAATTAAAAGTTTTTTCAATTCACGGTAGGTTGGCATTGTCTGCTTTTCAGTGTGTCTGATGTAATCACTGGCATTTCCTTTCAGACCTGGCTTTTTTGTCCTGGGAGGACAAGAACCAGGACAGAAAGATATGTGGAGTCACACCCTGCCCAATCCCAGCTCTGAGGTCTACCATGCCACCCTCTAGTCCCCTGCAAGAGGACTGGCCACCATCCTGTTCCCCTTCAGACATACTGTTTTACTTTGGGGAACAGGTAGGCTCTTACCAAATATTCAACCTCTGAAGATGAGGAGGGAAGAGATACTAGCCGAGTTAACAGGAAGACACAAAGCAAAGAATCTTGCTGGTTTGCCTTCTTGGCTTATCCTTCCAGTTCATAGGAAGGTCTAAAGTCTTATAAACCTTCTTAGAATTCACACATTTCCCCATGGGCATTTACTAAAATTCTCATGATTTAATAAGTACGCCTGAGTACTCGTGATTTAGGTACATTCCCATGTTCTAGGAACCTTTTACGCTGATCAATGTTTTGGATGTGGGATATGTCAGCCCTATGCCTGCTTTCATGAGACTGCTGAAAGGATATGCTGTGTAGAAGGCCCCAGTCAACTTCTGGGAAGAAAGTCCATAATTCAAGGCTTGCAATCTGATTTATTACCACCACACAAGCTCTCCTCGTGATGTGGAAGCCCTGCTACCTCTTCATTCACAGCTTTAAAACAAACAGTAAACCTGCACTCATCCTACTCACCTGTGGTTCAAGTAAGTCCCACATCAGTCCTGACTGTCCTTCCCGTGAGAGAGGGCAGTTAGGCCAGACTTTGAACTTTCCACATTTGGGTTTCCAAGTCTTCTATATGATCTGGAGCAGATAACTAGAGCGATAGTCCATCTATGTAAACAAGAGATCTGAGCACGGTAGACCATGCCTGCTGAAACAGCCTCCTATGGAAGGGAGATAAGGGCCTTATCCAATTGCCTGAACACAATAAATCAGTGTTTCTTCCCTGGACAAGGCTCAAAAGGGGTCAACACTATTTCTGAAGACTTCATGATTAGTGTTCTGTTTTGATTAGGGTCATCTCTCTCAGCTATATTGGAATCAAAATAGGGCTAGGGGCCAGGTCTTCCTGAATGGCTTCATGACTTTCAAAGGGAAGGAGAAGGTAGTGGTGACTTTTGATAAAATGGGTAAGGGTCCAAGCCAACAACATAAATCACTCAAAGTCCAGGTGAGGGATCAGTAGATGCAATGACTGAAAGGCAGGCCTTGAGCACATTCCTCTGGTAGACATTAACTTATTAAATTGACCCTGATTGCAAATAGAAACTTTGTACCCATCTCACCTGGCAACCATAAAAGAGGTGGATTTCAGTCTATAAAAGGAAACGGGAACAGCCCCCTGGCTTGCAGGATCCAACATTGCCCATCAAGATGTGGTACCTCAGATTCTTGGCAGTGCTCATGGTCTGCCTGCTGCTGCTGGGTCAGGTAAGGAAAGGATACCTATGTGCACGCGTTGGGAGGTGGTGGTGGTAGAAGGATAAACAACTTGAAAACTAGACTCAGTCCTGAGAAATGGTTCCTCTGCTCGAGCCCTACAGCATCCTGGGACAGATCACTCTTGCATGCTATGCAGTATGCGTCAGCTCTTCCATTCCTGAAATGTATTTGTCTTTACCCTACAGGCAGATGGCTCCCCAATATCAGAAGTGAGTTCAGCAAAGAGAAGGATGCGGAGAATGACCCCATTTTGGAGAGGGGTTTCCCTCAGGCCCATTGGAGCCTCTTGCCGGGACGACTCCGAGTGCATCACGAGGCTATGCAGGTACACCATGGACCTGGGAAGCAGGACTGGCACAGAAGCTTGGAAGTTAGGCAGAGGCAAGATCAGCACACAGAGAATAAACCTAAGAATAAACCTGGGGTGGTGGACTCCCTGGGCTGAGATGGGGAGCTCCCTGGAAAACCCTGCAGGGGTTAAGAGCCAAGAAGCTCCACACAGATACCATGAATGATGTCTTTTGTTTAGGTCTCGTCCAATATTACATAAGAGTAAGGAAATGCAATGGAGGTAGCTACACCTGTCTTAAAAACCTCTTCTTTTCCCCTAGAAAAAGACACTGTTCCCTAAGTGTGGCGCAGGAATGATGTACACACCAGAGGGGAAGTGGACAGCACTCACCTACAATGCTCCGTTCTATGGAATATTGATTAACTGCATTTTGGCTGGAGACACGTGAAGCAATCTTGTGTTTTTAATATTTAAAAGACAGATGTATGCTTTAAACTGGTCTCTGTTTCTTCTTAGAATGTGGATATGTAGAGAAGCACTTTTCAATTTAGAGTTTATTTTTCTATGTGTACTATTAAATGTCTCAAATTGAAATGTCGGTAGTCTGGTATTCAAGTTTTGAAGGGTTCACTTTGTATACTGTAAGAAAAGACAGTGTTGCCTAATTAATTCTGGAAAATGTAGTGAGAACAGTTGTTTTTCCCCAAGAGATAACACAATGTCTGGTCAGAGGCAAAAGTTTAGCAATAGCTATGTGATCGGCCTTGGCAAGTTGATAAGTGGGCACCAGACGCTCGCTCTTCACTCCATGTAAAAATTCTCCAGTGAGGAGTCAAAGGTGGGCCATGCTGGCACTTGCTGCCTGATGATGTGCCCAGTCTGTATGTTGCTGAACATAAGGCAGAATTGCAAGAAAAATCTAATTGAATAAAACAAATGCACACATCACCAAGAGCAGCAAAAAAAAGATTTTTTGACCTGTGCAAAATCCCCATGGTCAGCAAGTTTAGAACTTCTGTAATCAGATGAGACGTGGATTTTTAGAGAAGAGTAGCAGTGCACCCTAAAATACAAAACATTACATGAACAGGGCAAAGTAAGAGTTGAAGAAGTGTAAAGAGCACAGTGTTTATAAACTTTAATACAGAAAATCTATTTGATATTTATTAAACTTAGTTTCTCCAGCTATGGTTTGGCATTATACAAAGCATCTTAATGACACAGAGTTAAAAAGATCTTTACAAATTGAAATGTGATACCCTTGTCTCCAAATATTTTAATTGCCATAAATTTGTTTAAAAATACACATTAAACGCATGTTTGACACTCTAAACTTTCTATAATCTCAATACCACAAAATACATATAATATACTATACAGATGTGGAAAAATCTAGTTAGTATATAATACTTTGCTCACCATTAACAGCTTTATTATGTGAAATGCACATACTGACTTAGAAATCCTAGCTTTTGAGCCCCAAAGTACCTCTGAAATTTTAATGTATTGCAACAAATAAAAATCACAGTATATAATTGAAATTTTGGTTGAAAATGTCAGATGCCTAAATATTTTGGATAAAAGAAATGTAAAACGAAGATTTGGATCATGTACAAAACAAAGGCATCCTATCAGACACTAACAGTACCTTTCTGCAGAATCAACAGGCTTTTAATTTATCAGTGGCGTTAGCTCCCCTCCAAAACCCTCCCCAAATATCAAACCATTATTCACCAAATAATTTTAATTTCAAATAAGATAAAAGAATTTTCAATAAATATATAAGCATTTCCATCCTCCATATACAAAATTTCTTAAAACCATTCAAAACGGAGGTTAGATAGAAATTTTCAGAACTGTGCTTACCAACCCCACATCTGGGCCTCAAAGGTGGTGCCTTTTTAGGCACAGCCAATTGGGCCAGTTCTGTTGGTGAGCCCTATCTCAGCCCACCCCACCCCGCCCCACCCCACCCCACCCCAGTACTGTTGAATGCTCATGTCAATGATTTGCCAGGTGTGTGCATAAAGTTGTTATATGGGGACACTTCTTGAACAGCAACAACAAACTCAACAGTATGGATAATCATGGCATTGATTTGGAAGGCAGCATTTCCAAATAGATACTTTCCAGAGAGGAACACAGCAGGCAGAAAATTCCAATGGTTAAAGGCTGAAAAGAAACCCCACATGTAAGCAGGAAGAGGTAAAACAGTATTACTAGAATTTCTGGGTGGGAACTTTTATCCATGCTCCTTTAGAGAGCTTTTTTTCTTTTTCAGAATGGCAATTTATCCTTAGCTGAGTGCTTAAATGGTGACAGGGAGAGGTCAATGCTGACATTCCCAAAAGTCAACTTCATTACATGATTATTTAAGGCCACTATTTTGGGCTGCTTAGAGATCTGTAAGACATGGTTTAGACTTAATGCCTTCTTCTGTGACCTAATTCCATAAAAAGAGAGAGAGAGAGAGAGAGAGAGAGAGAGAGAGAGAGATTTTGATACTTCACCCATCCCCTTTTCTGGAGGCAGTTATTTTTTTCATTAACCATAGGGCCCATCTGAGTAGAATCATCGTCTACTTGACCAACAATTAAAAACTTATTTCCTCTCACTTGCCAACGTGGTGCTAGGATCTAGAGGTCTACGCTGAATTTCTCTATTAGTGAATATGTGAAAGATAAGCTCAAACATGACCAATTTGGCCTCCTGTCACTAATATTACAAAGTCATTCAATACTTAGCTCATCTGTCATCCTTAGATGTGCAGTATTATTTATTACTGGAAAAAAGTCTGCCTCTCCAACACATTTGATACATGAAATTGAAATGAAATCAATTAAAATGAGTTATAGGAGTCTATATGGATTTGAAATGCTGTGCTTCCCAATTTACTTAGATTTTTTAAATAAAAAAAAAAACAAAACAGCACAATCTGCCTAAAATACATATTCCCAGATGTTCCTGGGACCCAGAGGCAAACTCCTATAATTCAAAATACATAATGAGGCCATTTTGTTTAATTAGCAACTGGAAAATTTAAATCCTTCCCACCCTGTAAGAGCCCCATTACACTACAGAAGGGCTCAAATATATTTTAAAAGTTAATTTACTACAAACCATAGTAATTAAGCTTTAACAATCTAAAAGGAATACACATTGCACCCTTGAACATTAATATTCAAGGTGTCAACAAGAAAGTGTCTTAGATCAATTTAATAAATAATGTGGAAATAGTTGCACTAAGCTAAAATACTAATAAACACACACATTTTTGACAAACTAATTTCATGTTTTCATACATACATACATACATATATATAAAGTGTGTATGTGTACATAATTTTAAAATCCAAAGTTGCATACCCTCACACCTAGAAGAGCACGCAGTGTGCCTCTCCTCTACACAACTAGGCATCACTGACTGGAGCGACCACTGGCTGCTCTCAAACTCCAGAGTGCTGCCTCTAGAGGCAGAATTTTCATGTAGAACAGGTGCCTTTTGTAGGCTCTTGCTTCACAACGCAAGCTCACTTAATAAAGGTAATTTCCCAAAGTTTCTGTCATTGGATACAAAATGATGCTCTTTGATCTAGCTGATTAAACCTTTCTTGAATGAAAAGAAACAAACAACAATTAAAAAAAAAAAAAACACAACAACAGTGAATCTAATAAAGCCGCAAGTGTGTCATTCAAAGTGCAGCCCAGATGCCTATGGATCCATCAGTAGGAGAGCTCCCCAGAGTACAGGAGTGTGTGGGCACATGCACATGTTATATAGATTGCTTTCACATTGGAGAATTAATTTAGTGATGGTCAACCTTCTCCACTCTTCAGCAACTATAAGCTACAAATTATCTGAAGTACTCCTTGCTAACAGAGTCAGTTCTTGGCTATTTGCCCAGAAAAAGGCGGTACTGGGGCAAGAAATAGGATGAATGCTCCCACACTGGACCTGGGCTGGACTGTGAAAGTGTGAATCACCTGAAGGGGAATGCTCCCCACAGCCCAGTCCAGGCTGGGCAAGACTAGCACGTGACAACTTCATCCACTGCAATCTGTTCGTTGGTTGCCTGTAAAGAGTCCAATGGTGTAGGCTGCTGCCTCCTGGCATACAAGTGTGGTCTTAAAGAGCAGTCAACAGCAAATTTTTAAATAGTTGTCATTTTTATAATTAACGATATATTAAGTACAAGTCTCAGACTAAGTAAGTTTTTAGCCACTTCTCAAATTCAGTTTGAAATGGTTAGAGAACACTGAAGACACCTACTGAGGAAGGAGGAATGGTCGTCTGTAAAGGAGTCCGACATACATGCTGGAGCAGATGAAGACCCAGACAGACTTCTGAGAAGATGGACAAAGAGGAGAGGGAGTGGTGTTGCCACAGACTATTATTACATTGACAATTCAATTATTTAGGATAGGATTTTGATCCACTGCCCATTACCACCTGGTAGCAAAAACCCTCCACAATGAAAACTCGAAAACTGTATTTCTCTAGGAATTCACATAGTTTGTGAGTGTGAGTATCTTAGAGCAGCACCATAAAACATGCAGGAAACTCTGCTTGAACAAAATCAGAAACATGCCTGCTGCCTCTCAGGACACACATGAAGCTAGGGCACACTGAAACTCACAGGTGCCCTACTGACTGCTGTTGTTCAAAGTCTAAAAGCTCAGGATTCTATTTCTAAGACCTCATTACAAATTAAGAAATCACAATCAGAGGAATCAGGAGGACAGGGCATATATCTACTTGATTAACAGTGGCAAATTTCTTACTAACTACCATTGATCACTGAGAAGTTGTTCTCTTAAGGAAAACTGTTCAAAAACACAGAAAGATACCAGAGGCAATTTCTCCAAGGGAAAAAAGTTAAATTCAACATAATTTGTCAATTTCCATCTTCAGTAATATGCAAAAACAATCTGAGGTACAAAACCGGTAAGAAACTCTATAAATATGAGGCCACAGGACAATGAGAGTTCATTAGCTCCAGGAAGTAAGTGTAAAAGAGACTCAAACAGAGGATTCTCTGCACGACTGGGCTTGGAGATTTTGTTTCTCCTTTCCCATTTCAAGCTTAAGCAATCATCTATAAATAACAGGGCAATCATTTTTTTCTTTCTGATTGGCTAGATTAATTTTTGGAATTGGGAGATTGGGAGGACAAGCTATTTTTTGAAGCAGCATCACGCAATAGGTTAGACTAAGTCATGTACCAAAGCATTAGTTTTTCTGAAATAATTCATCTTTAAGTGACCCTAAAGAGAGATTTAAAAGGAAAGAGAATTTAACATTATTACCGCAGAAGACCAACTGTATGGGTGATCTGGTCCTAGTGTAAAAATTCATCTGTAAACAATCCATAGAGTCTTCATTTAAAGGTAAGATTTAAGGCACACCAGACATGATAGGGGCACTAAAAGCAAAAGATAGAGGGTACGTTTCTCACTTTTGATTCCTATATGCACCTTACAGGGAAAGGTACTTTGACACACAACTCTGACAGAGGTGACTTCTTAAGCTCTACCCCTGCACTTCTCCCCTTCCCAAGAGAGCTCACATTGAACCAAGTTACATACTTCTCTAGTGTGAATTTTCTGATCCCATCAGAAACACAATATTGATGAGGGCCTTCATAATACAAAGGAAGTAAATACAAGATAGTTAAAAAGGAAAAATTCATCATCTCCACATCAGGCATTAGAACTCTAAATTGTAGAGCAAAAGCACACGCACCAGAGCTCCAGTCCATTCCGAGAACAGTCACTGCATGCTCTTATCAGAGCACCAGTCTAATGTGGGGGAAAATGTTTTACATAAAAGTTCAGAAGAGACATTTTATCCTTTAAACATCATCAGTAGAAGAGATATAGGCAGCAACCCTCAGGAGTTGGATCATCCTTTGTTCAACAGTAACTTACTGTTTCAATTAAGTTCAAATGATTAGCAAAAAGAACACATGGTTTTAATAAAATCCATGAAGTTCAAGATTGTCCTTTTATGAAACCCTTCACATGATATGCTTCTCCCAGGAAGTTTGCCTGCCCTCTTTTGTAATGCATTTGATGCAAGCTATAGTCACCTTGTGATTGCTAGTGTTATCAACACACATTCACAGTTCTTGAAATAATGCATACCAATGAGACATTTCATTTTATATCCATGTAGAATGCCATCTTCTTCTCATATTTAAGTGATTTTTCATGTGTAGAAGAATATCCTAATACTAAGTATAAATTCTACAATAATAAAATTGTAGTTAAGATTTGAAATAATTTCAGGTAGCAGGCGTAGAAAGAACATGTCCATGTTTTAGATGAACCATCTCTTACTCTTAGAAGAGTTATGACAAAAAAACATTATTAGGTAACAAAGCTCCCAAAGTATATAAATAAAAATGCCTACATTACATTTATGCTAAATATTTAAGAGTAAATTTATAGGCAGAAATAACTAAGTATTCAACTACCCCCAATCTGCGAACATAAAAAAATTAAAATAAATAGAATCTCAATTGATTAGTTATGAACTGCAACAGTAATTTCAATCTTATTACAGATCACTGAAACCATCTTTTCAATGTGCTGCAGATTTAAAAACATTTAAATAAATTTTTCACATTGGGAATATTGAAGGGGTCAACTGACATGATGGTTTTGGGTTATAAAAAACAACGCATGAACCAGGGAGGAGAAAACCATTCCTCATTCTTAGTGTCGACTAGGTGGCGTGTTATGGCAGTTTTCCTTCGTGATGTGACACAGTGTTGTGGAGAAAATCAGAGGCAACGAGAATGTGTTCAGTTCAAGATATCAACTTGGCATCCTGGCGAAGCCAGTGTAGTCCCTGCCGGGTGTAACGAACTAGGTCTGTCATGATGCTTGCGTTAAAGATGAGAGGGCCCATTACTTTATCCAGTTCAGCAAAGAATTCTAGAAAATCAAAAACACTTGTTAAATGATGCAACTCTTTGAATCACTGCTTTAAAATTTTCACTCTAGATTATAAAAGACTTCACATGAAATTAAAAAACACTGCTTCCTCCACTAAACTGGTAACTGCCCACATTTTAGAAGAAGCCATCTCATAGTTTAAGTCATAAAAACATTTTAAGAGGCCTTTGTGGTCAGGAATTAAGTGTTAAACAAACAGAATCTCACTGATAGAATTAGAATTAGAATTGCCATGTCATGCAGGAAAATTATTAAAATGGAGACCTAGTGCTACAATGTACTGTTACTCAAACATTCTCTGTGTACTGTTTCTGTATAAGCAAGAGGTGCACGTTTCCCATAAGAGTAACTTATAGAGGTTAGACACTTAGGATAGCCTGTAGCTAACTAACCTTTCTGTTGTAATCATATACCAGGCAAGATTGGTAAACTAAATCCCATTTCAGGCAATAATTTAAAAATGTAAGGGATAGAAATAAAAGGATTATTATTATATGAACAAATATAGGTTGATGTGCATGTGAGGCTGGGCATAGGGAGTGGATGATAGTAGCTAACATTTGATTTTAATGCAATTTGAGGTAAAAATAGAGGGATGGCGACTCAGTAAGGAGTTTTCACACACGCAAAGAGAAAGGTCATTCTCATGATTAAAACCTCAGGCTATTCAAACAACACAAGAAATCAACAGTCAAGGAGAAAAGGATCTTTTTTACATAATTCCAACTAATGAATGCAGAAGAAATGTCAGGGAAAAAAATCCTGATAAATTTTCTATTTCCCAACAGAATAACTGACAAGAATAATGATCAATGGATGCTAAAAGCCTAAGTTATAGTTTAATAGGGCCTCTTACATCAAAGTGATCAAGCTCACACCATCTGAATCAATCAATGGTCGTATCTTACCATCACTAAAAAAGGGATAACCATCACGTGACTCATAATATTTTTAACAGGAAATCCATAGCAGTACCACCTATGAAACATTCTTACCTGCTAATGATAAACTTGAATCTAATCAAGTCTCAAAATATAACTCTTACACAAGAACAAGTTAAACGACACCATGAGGACGTAATCTGTCAAATCCAGAACATGACACATTGTACGCCCAGTTTCTCCTTGACATTAATAGCATAGCCAAGAAAAAAAAAAAAAGAGTGGGCGAGGGGGACATATTTAAAAAGACACTGATGATGGATCCTGTCTAAAACAAATCCAACTGTCAGGAAAAAAGTGTGGTTGAGATAATTCAGATGTCTGATGGTAGACTACATATTAGATGATATACCGAAGTTATCGTTAAATTTTGTTGGATGTGATAAGGTATGATGGCCATGCTTTTGTCCCTCTCACATAAAGAGGCATACCAAAGCATGCTGAGATGCAGTGTTATAACATATAGTTTTGGCTTTAAAATTCTCCAGGTGAAAAGAAAGTGAGGTGGGTGAGGAGTTGGGGGAGAGAGAGAGAGAACCAGGACAAGATTTGTAAAATGTAGTGTTGTTGAACCAAAGTTCTTTCCTTTGTCAATGTTTGGAAACTGCAATACAAAAAGTGAAAATAGGAAAATTGAGGCTAGAAAACTGGCATCAGAGAGAAGAATGGAATGAAAGTAGAGGGACTTAAGAAGAATTCAGCTTTATAACTTTTCCTGAGCAGTACTGACAGTATTTACACTTTCTGTTGGGGATCCCCTTCTATAGTTCTCTATTTCCCTCTTCGTCTAGTTTTATTGAGAAATAACTGACATACTCCACAGTATAAGTTTAAGGCATTAAGCATGCTGACTTGATTTACACATATCGTAAAATGATAATCACAATAGATGCAGCTAACATACATAATTTTCACCTGACTACGTGCTCATGTTGTAAGTGTGACTATATGCTGTGACAAAAGAGCATGATTGATAGGCTACTTTAGTGCTTCCCTGCAAAGGATCTACCTGAATAAAAGGCTATACAAACATGTATGCTAATTATATCTACTATATTAAGCTAGCACTTACCTCTAAGAGCCTTAAATATCTTATAATTCTCGATGTTCTTAGTTTCAGAATATAAAATAAACTTAAGGTACAAAGCTTCAAATGACCTAACATTAAAGAATACTAGAAAATTAATCACTTTGTTTATCACCTAAGTTTCTTCCAACATTCATCTAAAAATCCAGTACGAATGTACTCCTTTATATATAAAACATCTCTTATGAGCAAATATCTAGATATGATCCTATGCCTATAGCCAAATTTGCTGTTAACCATCCATTACATTTATAGTAATACCTGCATTTAACGTGCCAGAATAGAGGCATATTTGTCTTAGACCAAAAACTATTTTTACCTTAATTTGTGTCACTAGTATAGTGAAAGATATTTTTTTATCAAATTCAATAGATTTAGTATGACTGCTAAGAAAAGGAAATTAACAAACTGATTAAGTCTAGACTAGATAATAAATCAAATGCAGATCAGACACTTATTTAACTAGATCACAGAGCTCCTTTAAATAATTCTATCCCTCAATCAAAGTTTCTCCAGAAACCTACCAACCTTTTTGCTCTTTGGAAAGCTGTTCAGCTTGGTCCCAAATTTCAGTGGCATAGAGGAAGTTGGATGTAACCTGAACATAGCTGGCTGCCATCTGGTGGATCCTCTGTGGAATGGTCACTGAAGAACCACTTGCTGAAGCACTACTGGCCCCAGAAGAATAATTTCCTGAATTGCCTGGTGACAACTTTGGAGAAACAGGGGAAGGCATCCCAACAGCTTTGCTACATAAAGAAAAATGGGAAGCTTGTTTACAAGGTGAGCATGATAAAATCAATTTGTTACCGGTTCTTTCTACACAAAAGGCTTTAAAAATTTTATATTCTGGGCCTCCCTGGTGGCGCAAGGGGTTAAGCACTGTACTATGAAGCAATCCGCAGCCTCTGCAGCACGAGTTTGATCCCCAGCCAGCCAGGGAGCAACCCACATGGCGTGGCAGACCCCTCCTGTCTTGCCCGTGTCTCCCCTCAGTGGTGTATTTCAGTCAGTCTGCCTGTTCTGTTCCCCACTCTGTCTCTGGTAAATCCTCTCGCCCCCCACATCTCTGGCCTGTACCCAGCTCTTGTATGCATAAATAAATAAATCTTAAAAAAAAATTATATTCTTTTAAACTTAGAAGGGATCCCAGAGAAATACATTTTCTTCTACATAAGCACTTAGTTCACTAAAGGCTACAGTGAATTATAATCTTATCTAGACTCTTTGTTTAATGAATGGCAACAGCACAAGAGATGGAAAGCGCTCAGATAGTCATATACATTGTTAGTAACAGTTCGAAGACTTACAAGCTGGGTTGCTTTAATCTCAGTTAAATACACTTTTCATCTGTTTTGGAATATAATTAGCTACTTCTTAAATTGTTTTATAAAAAGTTGGTGGAATTTAACAACACCCCAAAATTGCGGTAATAGATAGGAAAATCTTATTTTGAACTTCATAATTTCTGGTAATTTCCTAGTTTAACCAAGTTTTTCAGAGTTTACCAATGGCACAGCTTTCTCAATCAAGGGTGATCATCTTAAGCTTCTTGTCAATTAAATATTTCTTAGAACACACACACTGAAATCTAGCAGATTATTTCAGTGGTGCTAAAGCTGGCAGAAGTGCCCAAGAGCAGGAAAATCAAACAAAAGGTTTTTTTGGAGGGGAGGGGGAATTGCTTTTCTGTTAAAATATTTCTATCTGTACTTTCAGAACTATAAATCTGGTTAAGGAAATACTAAGGGCAAAGACAGACTGTCAATGAATATAATAATTGAACAAAAAAACTCAAAAAATTTATTTCATGATGTTTTCTCTCCTTTTGGAGGTGGATAGAATTGGGAGTGATTGTGAGTATGGTGGAGAAACCAATGATGTCACCATTATTAACTTCTGGCAGCATCCTGACATCATTAGAGATAAATCCTTTATAATAAAAACCCAAGCAGTTTGAGGTAATGTAAAAAAAACACTTCTGCAGGTGAACTATCCCCCTCTTTCATCTTTTTAAGCTTATGCCATTATATATACAATTTGTAAAAAATAAACATGAAAAATAACTTCCAAAAATACTATTTTACAGATAGTACTAATTTTTTAAAAGTCATCTTTCCATTTTTGGCAAGCCATCCCATTTGTATGTAAAAAATAAACTCGTCACAAATATTTCAAAGAATAAAATTCACCTACCTTCCCAAGCCAGGTGATGGTGCTTGAGAATTATTATAAGAATTCTGCAGAGAAAATAAAATGTATTTAGTAAAAAACCCCACTATTTATGAAGTACTAAGTATATTCAAAGACACTGGGGCCAAAATGATCCTAATAAACTTCATTAATTAGAAAGCATCCTCTGAGGGTGTGTGCACCTGTGCTCGTGTATAAATGTACAACAGAAATAGTGGTTTAGGGCTTCCCTGGTGGCGCAAGGGGTTAAGATGCAATCCATGCAGCTCGCCGTAGCCACTGCAACGCAACTTCGATGCCCAGCCAGGGAGCTATGCACTTGGCGCAGCAGACCTCTCCTGACTCGCTCGCTGCTCCCCTCAGCAGTATATTTCAGTCAATCTGCTGTTCTGTTCCCCACTCTGTCTCTGGTGAATCCTCTCACACCCCCCACACCTCTGGCCTGTATCCCAGTTCTTGTATGTATAAAAAATAAATAAATCTTTAATAAGAAAGAAATAAAATAAAGTAAAAAAATAAAGAAAAGAAAAGAAAAATTAGAAAGAGTAGTTTAGCTGACAGCTGAGATATTCCAGAAGACTTATAGGGAGAAAGTATAACATTCATAAGGATAAAGAGGGGAGAGGGATATAATAAAAGTGAGTCTTACTATGTACAAAGGCTGCAGAAATGATAATGTCTGAGAGCCATACAGCTTTCCTGAAACTGCTGAAAGGTTTTGAAAGGAACAAGAGTGAATGACCTAGAGGCCTTGCAGGTCAGATTAAGGAATCTGGACTTGACCTCAAGGTAATGGTAAGGGTTGCATGTCATAATCAAGTAGGATTTAAGGAAAATTTATGTGGTAGTGTCAAGAAAAAGCAGAAAGACTTTTGTAGGAAACAAAGTCTAAGGAGGCATGACAGTGAAAACAATAGAACTTTTTAAAAGTATAAATTAGGTATGATTAAAAAAAGGCTTGGAATGTTATTAAGAGCTGCTACATATGGTTAAATAGGTTCTAGAACCAGAAATATGTGCATTTGAAACTTTCCAGGCAATCTCAAACTTATTTGAAAATCCCCAAACAGTAGCTAACTCCTGTGCAAGGGGCATTTCCTAGGAGATACACACCTTCTCTCCTAGGAAATGGACCCGCTTGTTATGTACACTTACCTTCAAGTGCTCTGTCAGTGTTTTTGAGTACTTCAGGGCATTTTCCTTCTTTAGTTTGAAGAGCCTCAGGTACAGCAGAGACTGGCATCGCAGGCTAGCCAATGGAAAAGACCAATTTATTTACCAAGACAGCAGACCCTGGTCACATGTGCACAGACAAGCTTTCACTGTACAAGAGCACAGGACTGGAGTGTTCGAGCAGACCATGGCATAAGGTCAACAATGCAAACCCTTAGTTATAATTAGTTACATATTTAGGTACATCTCAATGAAGAACATGGCTTGTTTGCTAGTTGTTATTGGTGTATACTCTTAAAGAGAAAGAAGAAGAGAACGAGGACTAGCCTTTTATTAGGTGACATATGAATATCAAAACCTCACTCTCATTATGCCAACATTATCATTATAATGCATGCATTAAGAAAAAAAAGCACTGAGAGACAGAACCACTATGTCGAATTATAAATAATCTAAAATTAAAAAAAAAAATTTGGAAACTCAACTAAATATTACAATCTGATGAAACATAAGTAAACCTTCTAAGATGGTTCACAAAGGCCGTATGGTCATCACAGCCTACCGCTTGGTCATTTTTACTTCTCACTGATCAACTTCAAGTTTCTTTCCACTACTCAGACCAAATTTGTTCCCTCTACCCAGAGACTAGCCTCACTTAATTTACATACTTAACCAATTATTTGATTACTTATTTCTCCTCACACTAGACTATAAGCACATGACAAACAGTACTGTGTCTTTATTTCCAGGTACATTTCCCATTGTTAAACACAGTGCCAGGTGAAAAAAGTACCTATAACACATGAACTGATAATATTTCCTGGAGCTGCAGCAAACAAGTCATATTCTTCATTCTGAGCAAGCTAAATGTTTGCTCCCTGAGGAAAAAATATATCTGTGACTAGAGAGATAACTATAATAGAAGAGACTGGAAAAGTGACCGCTTAAGATAACGGAAGTTTCCAGTACCAGTGCTTCTCTACTAGGGTTTTGGTAAACAAAGCAATGGATCAGAGTGTGACAACAACTAAATAAAATCTTTCAGGAGAAACTGTGTTTGTTATTTTCTATTTTACCTATCGGAATAGATTTATGACTGGGCTATAGGACATTAATTGAAGAGTTAACTTTCAACAGAAAGAACACAGAGAGCACAATTTATTATGGAACTGCCTGTCATGTACCAGCAGGCTAGAAACACTGACCAAACACAACACTTACCAAAGTACAGCAAGTCTTTTATCTGCAGCTGTAGCATCTGGTGCCATATGATTCTTTAGCTTCATAGTGTATCTGTGAATTAAACAAACACCACACTATAAAATACTTCATTTCCATCTTAGGATTTCCTTTGTCCTTAATACATAAGAAACAAAACTAAATTAAGGCAAAAATACACACTGAAGTATTCAGTTCTTCTGTAAAGAGGGTAATGGGTCAGGCGTCCTCTTCAGCTTTACTATACACACTTATGCTCTACTTCATGACCTGTCAGTCAGTGATAGACCACCTAGGTGTGTAATAGGCTACACTGTATACGTTTGTGTAAAATTATAGCTTATGACATATACAAAAGGATAAAATCAACTAACAACACATTTCTTAGAGTATTTCAATCACTGAATGACAGCTGACCGCAGTTTCTCCAGCCCCTCCCTGTTTTTGGATCAGAGAAGTAACATGGCCAAAGATGTGCCAGGTTTTCCCACTTACTTGATGAGATCAGCTGTCTCTGAGTACATAGGGAATGGGGATTTGGATTCCTGAGCATTTTTCTCTAATGCATTCCCACATTCAATGAAAGAAACCACAGCATCAAGATAGAATACAGCTTTCTCGAACCTATCGGACTGAAGACAGAATAATAAAGTGATGAGAGCTGCACTGATGTATTATGGGACAAACAAACAAATGAAGTTAATTTGATTAAATATATAAATGCAAAAATATTTACATACCAATGCATCTGCATTGTGCTTTAGTTTTTTTGCTTCTTGTAAATAATGGTCTGCTGAGTAATTTCTGCAATGTAAGTTTTATTGTAAATAAAATGGCAAATATTTTCATAAGATGAACATGAGATTATTTTCGTCTCTAGCACCCCTCGGTTTCCATGTCCTCAATTAAAGAAAATAAGCTATTACTAAATACTCATTTCAGTTTCTTCTGACAAATGTTTTTATCAGGTTAAGAGCAAAAATTGCTTTGGCCAACTCATGGCAAATTTTCTACTCAGGAAAATAAAAGCAAACTCCCTACTATTAAATACTACTTACCAAATTGTTGGAAAGATTCAAAGTAAATAAAATGTGGGCAGGAGAAATAACCTTTAATCAAATTAAAGGAAAAAACTAACATAACTCTTACTAATTCAAGAAAGCCCCTACTGTAAAGTGACACCAGCACAGCAAACCTCTACTGGACTAACAGTAGAGACTAACTCTTTGAAAAGAGTTATGAAGTTAAGATAAAGGAGCATCACTTGAATTGCCTTTCAAACTAAAACCTGAATATTCTGTGGATCACAAGACAAGTATCAAATCTGCTCACTGAGAGAAATTAAATGAGTTTCTTATATGTTGACTGGAACAATTTCTTGAATACGTTAAAAAAACAAACAAGGTCCACATTTCTCTCACCTGTCGTCAAAGGCAAGCTTTGTTCTTCGAGGCTTAGAGGCTTCAGGAGTTGGTGTAGATGGAGGGCAGTTAGAGGAGCTATTTGGTACCTTTTCCTGACCAAAAAAATACATTTTAAAATTGTAAGATTAATATTAAAATAAAATTATTTCTTGAGCCTCTGCCAAAAAAGGAAACAAAATTCCATTGCACTCAGTAATTAATTTTGTTGTTTTAAAACTTCTGAATTTCAGAATGTAAACTTTCTTTTCATAGAACAGGTCTATTTTATATAACCAAACAAAATCACTTAAATATTAAATTATATATCAGGCACCTGGCCTAGTGCCTGGCCTAGGCACTTGTTAAAACAAGGAAGACACAAATCTAATAACAAAATGGCAGTACTACTTAGGACAAAATTTATTGATAATTATTGGTCAATGAAAATGGCAATAATATCTAGTGTTTATGATAAGCTTATTATTTACCAAGCACTAAGTACTTACCAGTCATTAATTCAACATGCCTACAAAATATGTACTGCTACTAGCACAGAATAAAAACAAAATCTCAAAGAGGCTGAGTAACTTGCTGAAGTTCATATAGATTTTTTTTTTTAAGATTTATTTTTTATTTATACAAGAACCAGGCAACAGGCCAGATGCGCGGGAGGGTGAGAGGATTCACCAGAGACAAAGAGGGGAACAGAACAGGCAGACTGAAGAAATACACTGCTGAGGGGAGCAACGGGCGGCAGGAGAGGTCTGCGGGCCACGTGGGTTGCTCTGAGGCCGGTGGGGATCGAACCGGCACTGCAGAGGCTGCAGACAGCTTCACAGTGCTGCGCTCCTGTGCAACCAGGGAGGTCCTCAAATAGCTTTTAAGCAGCATTCCTGTAATTTGGGGTTTTAAATTCAGATCTGCCAGATTTCAAAAGCCTAGCCATTTTCTTAAAACTTTATTCTGCTTACTACCAACACAGTCCTCTCTCTATGCAAGAGTTATAACCAGCTCTGCCTTCCCAGCTCTTCCCCATCCAGTCCTATTTTTAGAACTGGACACACACTTTGCCATAAAAAACATCATAAATAAGGGCCTACCCAGTGGCGCAGTGGTTGAGCGCTGGGTTGTGAAGCTACCCGCAGCCTCTGCAGTGCGGGTTCGATCCCTGGCTGCTCCCCGGCCACCGGTGGAGGGTCCCACATGGCGCGCAGACCTCTCCTGCCGCCCGCTGCTCCCCTCAGCAGTGTGCTTTGGTCCTTCTGCCTGCTCTGCTCCCCGCTCTGGCTCTCACCCCCCCCGCGCTTCTGACTGTACCCAGTGCTTGTATAAATAAATAAAAATAAATCTTTAAAATAAAAAACCATCATAAATAAGGAGAATTGATCCATAAATGCATGAATATTTTATCATTAGAAAACCCAGTAATATATCATTTTTTGTTTTGTTTTGTTTTTGTTTTGTTTTTATAGAGGCATGTTTTTGTTAAATTTATTTATTTGTTTGTTTGTTTTGTTTATACATGCACTGGGTACAGTCAGAAGCACGGGAGGGTGAGAGGATTCACCAGAGACAGAATGGGGTGCAGAACAGGCAAATGACTGAAATGCACTGCTGAGGAGAGCAGCAGGTGAGACAGGAGAGGTTTGCTGTGCCATACAGGTTAGCTCCCTGGCTGCAGATCAGGCCATAGCCGTGATAGTGCTGGGACTTAACCTGTAGGCCACCAGGGAGCCCCAAGTCCCTAAGTTTAACTGGAAGAAAACTAAAGTTTCTGAAAATAAAAAAAAAAGTTTCCAGCTATTTCAACACACTTTTCTTACATAAAAATTATGTCAGTTTGGTTTTCCAGGTTACCTAGTTTTTATTTAGTTGGTATAATAAGAAATAGCATATTTTCTAACTATAGATTTCCCTCTAATAAGCCTATATATAACTGACTAAACCAGGAACTGGTAAGACTAACAGTAACAATCCTTTTTTTTTTTTTTAAAGATTTATTTATTTATACAAGAACTGGGGTACAGGCCAGAAGTGCAGGAGGGTGAGAGGATTCACCAGAGACAGAGCAGGGAGCAGAACAGGCAGATGAACCAAAAACACTGCTGAGGGGAGCAGCAGGCGAGACAGGAGAGGTCTGCTGTGCCATGTGGGTATCTCCCTGGCCAGCCGGGATAGATCCTGCACTGCAGAGGCTGCGGACAGCTTCACAGCGCTGTGCTCAACCTGCTGCGTCACTGGGGAGACCAAACAATAACAATTTTAAAACCATTATGTGCCATGAGATTTTAAAATCAAAGTGGTTTGGGTCAATTTTATATTTTGTCAATGACATGAGTAACAAATGACTATATTTAATGCAACAACTACTTTCTTTTCTCCCAGTAAATGCAGAAATAAACGTCAAAATAAGACACAAATTCCTGCTTTCAAGAAGCTGACAAGTCAAGTCAGTAAGGAAGAGACAAAGACAATGATTTTTACAACCTGAGATAACAGAAGCCAGATGAGCAGATGAGCTCACTAAAAAAGCGTATTTAAAAAATAAAAAAAGCGGGCCTCCCTGGTGGCACAGTGGGTTAATAAGCACTGCACTATGAAGCAATCCACAGCCTCTGCAGCACAAGTTCGATCTCCAGCCGGCCAGGGAGCAACCCACATGGTACAGCAGACCTCTCCTGTTGTGCCTGCTGCTCCCCTCAGCAGTGTATTTCAGTCAATCTGCCCCACTCTGTCTCTGGTGAATCCTCTCACCCCTCACACCTCTGGCCTATACCCCAGCTCTTGTATGCATGAGTAAATAAATCTTTAAAAAAAAAAAAAAATAAAAAAATAAAAAAGCATGGAGAAAAATCCTATAAAGGATTAGGAAATGGACAAAGAACCAGTCAGCAGGTAGATAAAAATTAGGGCTGTGAATAAGTTCAACAGGGCAGTCAGATTCCTTCAGGACATTAGGATTCTCTAAACTACTACAAAAGGGTATCCAGGTTTGAAAAAGCCTGCTGTGTATCTCAACTTTAAAAAGCTATTCACAATTGAATTACTTCTAAATATTTAATTACCACATTTAATAAGCACAACTAACTACATTTAACGGTCCAATTTTTCAATTCTCAGACCTTCGCTGATCTATGTCACAAATAATAATCCAATAAATTATATTCTTTAAAATTCAGGAATTTTCTTAATTTGGTGAGGGAATTTGCTCCCTCTCAGAACAGTTTAGAAAGCAATGCAAATAGCCTAGAAAGCAAATTGAGGGTGAGGGTCCATTAAAGAATATCTTAAATGGAAAAGCTTTTTAATGAAAAAGCTTCTTTGATTCAATTCACCATTCACACACATTAAAAATAGTGCCCAACAATATGATCATGCTCGAGCAATAAGGTCAACTATAACATCAGTGCTCAAGATATTTCCACTCTTCGTGAATCAAAAGTCAAATGGTTGCTTTTTTCACTTATGTAATATAATTTGTATAATCTAATCACAAAATGCCCAAAGTCAATTTCAAATCATAGAGAAGAATTCAATCACAGCAACTGGAATTATTTAAAATTAGATCACAACCAGATTCTCCAGTTACAAATTTCTATTTTGATTAATAAGCATGTAGCCAGTCTTCTGTTTTCATGGTTTTAGATCACAGTTTATGTTTACTCTCAAGACTATAAAAATGCATAGGCCTATAAAATTTAATGAGCTACTCATAAAATTTTCAAAGCACAGCATTACCATGGGGAAGTCACAGAGCAACGAGATTCATTTTCAAAGAGCTCAGGCCCGGGACAGCTTACCTTCACCTCCTTAGAGCTACTGGAAGTCTTCCCCTCAGTCTTCTTCTGTTTGGATGTGGAGGAACTGCTTTTGCTGCTACCACTGTTCTCTTTGTTGCTGTTATTACTTGACTTTAAGGAAGAAGACTGACTAATAGTCCTCTTCCGAGAGCCATGCTCTGTTTTTGAATCTTTTGAGGGAACAGGTCCAGCGGGAGAAGGCAACAGGTCCTTTTCTTTTGTAGCACTCTGCTTAGATGACCTGCCAAACCAAACAAATGCCCTCATTTCCCCACACAGTCATATAGGGGTGATGGATTTTTCCAATTCTCTTTGCTTTCAAGACAAATTTGTTTTTCCCAATTGGGTTACTAGGAGACATGATTTCTGTAAAACAGAACTATAAATTTCATGCAGGCAAGCATTTTGACTGGTTTCCCCACAACCCTTTGCTGGCACATCCAGGGCCTAAATCTTGGCATGCTACACAAGTATTTCAGTAAATATTGATTGAATAAATGTAGAAATATGAACAAAGAGATAAATGGCAAGCAAAAAATATTCATGCTTATAAGTCAGTAATGTTTCCCAAGTTATAGGCAAGCTTGTTATCTACCCAGAAAGCAGTGAAACTTAAATTCTTACCCCTAACTCTACTAAAAAAAAAAAGAGAGAGAGAGAGGAAGTAACTGAATCTTAAAGGCATTCTATCCCTATTAGCCTAAAACAGAAGTTCCCACTATAGGGCACATGTATGTGTGTGCATGGATATGACATGTACTTATTAAAAGGAATATTCTAAGAGCACAATTGAAAGTATCCAATAACACATGACAGACATATATAAACACATATGCAACATAGTTTGGGGACATACTCTCTGGTGCTAGATGGCTTGTGGCCTCCTGAATTCTTGTCCTCTGTTTTGGGTTTCTTGCTCTCACTGGCTCGGTTATCATCTTCATTCTAAATGAAAAACAGAAAATAGCAGCTATCAGGTTTGATTTTTATTCTTCTAACTTCAGTTTCCAGCACTATTCATCCCTTAATAGTTTAACTTTGATTACCTTCAGAAAAATAATAAATGCTCAATAAATTAGGTTTTAAGGTTAAGAATTCTATTATCTTAGATATCAAATATCAAAACACATTCCTAGTCTTTTAGACAGCATTTTTTTCAGGCTGATGCTATATTTAGGGGGATGAAAACTGTAGAATGATAGTTAAGATAAAATTCACATTATCTGAAAGATAAAGTTTACTCTCTAAAAACACACCATTCAATGGTTTTTAACATATCCAGAGCTGTACAAGCATCACCACAATCAATTTTTAGATTATCATAAAACCCAAAAGATTATATATATCCATGAGCAGTAACTTCCTATTCCTTTCATCCTCAAACTCTGGACACATTTTTTATCTTCATGAATTTACCTATTCTAAACATGTCATATAAATGGAATCACATACAGTAGGTATGGTCTTCTATGTCTGGTGCCCTTCAATTAACATAATATTTTTAAGGTTCATTCATGTTGAAGCATGTATTAACACTTCATTTCCCTTTCTGAATATATTCCACTGAAGTCATCCATTCATCAGTTCTGAGCCATTTGGGTTGCCTCCAAGTTTTGACTAATATGAGGTTAATACTGCCATGAATATTCAATTACAATTTTTTGCCTGCTATGTTTTCTTTCTTTTGGGTATATACCTAGGAATGGAACTTCTGGGTCATAAGGTTAACACTACCTTTAATTTTTTGAGGAACTGCAAAACTGTGTTCCAAAATGGCTATATCATTTTTTTTTTAATTAATTTTTGTTTATTTATTTATTTATACAAGCACTGGGTACAGTCAGAAGCGCGGGAGGGTGAGAGGATTCACCAGAGCCAGAGCGGGGAGCAGAGCAGGCAGAAGGACCGAAGTACACTGCTGAGGGGAGCAGCGGGCGGGAGGAGAGGTCTGCGCGCCATGTGGGACCCTCCTCCGATGGCCGGGGAGCAGCCGGGGATCGAACTGGCGCCGCAGAGGCCGCGGGCAGCTTCACAACCCAGCGCTCAACCACTGCGCCAGCGGGGAGGCCCAAAATGGCTATATCATTTTGCATTTCCAGCAGCACTGTATGAAAATCTTAATGCTGCTTATCTTTACCAATACTTTCTTTATTCTTTTTAAAGATTTATTTCTTTATGCATACAAGAACTAGGGGATATAGGCCAGAGGTATGGGGGGTGGTGAGAGGATTCACCAGAAACAGAGTGGGGAACAGAATAGGCAGAATGACTGAAACACACTGCTGAGGGGAGCAGCGGGTGAGACAGGAGAGGTCTGCCGCGCCATGTGGTTATCTTCTTGGGCGGGGATTGAACTTGTGCTGCAGAGGCTGGGGATAGCTTCATAGGTTGCGTCTTAACCCCTTGCGCCACCAGGGAGGCCTTCGCCAATACTTTCATTGTCTGTCTTTCTGATTACAGCCAAGCCTAATGATTCTTTTTAATGTTTTTTTTTTTTAAACATCCTAGCTGAAACAAAAACTGGGAGCCCATTCCTAATTGCCAGTGTTACTTTCCTGAGTGAATCTAAGCTTTCCCATTTCCTTAATATTAAGGTACAAAATTGCAAACATAAGAATGTGTTCTCTATACACAAGATGAAAGATGGACATGTGACCATCTGAGAAAAAGTAATCTACAGACTTTATTACCCTTGGGTGGATATTCCTCTCAGCACCACTTGATTTATATCCAGGAATTGACACAGACACGTAATTTTACCAAAGCCAAAAATCTCAAAGATCATCACTGAGATTTCTAGTGCTACATATTTTTAAAAATAAAAATTACCTCCTCTTTCTTTTCAACAAGGCAGCAAAGGGGACATGAAGATGCAGAGCCTAGACAAGATGCAGGCAAGACCATAATTGTCAAGGTCGAGCCCAGTGACACCACTGAGAATGTTAAGGCCAAAATTCAAGACAAGGAGGGTATCCCACCTGCCCAGCAGGTGGATATCAGGTGCTGACAAATAGCTACAAGACAGTCTCACTCTCTCAGACTACAATATTCAGAAAGCGTCTGCCCTGCGCTTGGTGCTGCACCTGCAGGGTGGCATCATCAAGCTGTCCTTCTACCAGCTGGCCCCGAAATACAGCTGCAAAAGATGATCTGCCACAGTATTATTCTTACCTGTACCCCCAAGCTGTCAAATGCCCCAAAAAGTATGACCACACCAGCAACCTACATCTCAAGGAGGTAAAATAAGATCCTATAACTGGCTCTTCCTCTGTTCACAGGGTGGAGTCCTGCCCAAACCCCAAGCACCTGGGTCTCAACAAAGTTTCCCTTTCATTGACTAGAGCAGTAAAAATAAATATAAATTTACTTATAGGGATTAATATAAAAAATACAGCAGGAATGTAAGTCAATGAGATGTGGGTAAGGTAAGGCCACATGAGGCACTTCTTTTAAAGGAAAGGTTGTTTTAAATTACAAATTATAAATGTAAAATTTTAAGTAAAAAAGTAAAAAGGACTTTATTTTCTTTCTTTTGTTTTAAAGATTTATTTATATCAGAGCTGGGGTGCAGGTCAGAGACATGGGAGGATGAGAGGACTCACCAAAGACAGAGTGGGGAGCATAACAGGCAGAATGACTGAAATACACTTCTGAGGGGAGCAGTGGATGAGACAGGAGAGGTCTCGTTTGATCCCTCGCTGGGGATCAAACTCATGATGCAGTGGCTACTGACAGCCTCATAGTGCTGAGACTCAACCCCTTGTGCCACCAGGGAGGCCCAGGACTTTATTTTCTATATAATAGTTTAAACATTTGAAAATCTTTTTTTTTTTTAAGATTTTAAAAAAATTTATGCATACAAGACCTGGGGTTTACACCAGAGATGTGAGGGTTGAAAAATACCATACTCTTCCTATCTGAGGTTCTCAAGTTCAACTGGGATTGGGGTTTTGTTCTGAGTCAACCCAGTGTAGCCATTCCAGTGCCTGTTCATATTTCAGTATTTTGAAATCATGTTCAAACATTCACACATATGTATCAAGGGAAATTATACTACTGTTCTATACATATTATTGGAATTAACCTTACTCTAAAAATTCCTCACTAGAGCTAGAAGATCAAATTATTTCTTCCAAAGTTTTCACTTGTTTAAGGTATTTACTCCTTTTCATTATGTCTATTACAGACACCATAAGTTTTCACATTTCTTTGCCTCAAAAGGTAGTGGTATAATTCACAAAGTGGAATATTCCACAGCAATCAAAATAAAGACAAAGTCATGCCATTTGCAGCAACCTATATGGAGCTTGAAGGTATTATGCCAGTCGAAATAAGTCAGAAGGAAAAGAAATATTGGATGGTCTCACTTATATGTGGAATATAGAGAAATCAAACAAAAGATCAAGAAAATGTCAAAACTAGCAAGCTGACCACAGATTCCAGGCGTACAGCATATGAAGGGGAAGGAGGAAGGTCACAACAGGGAAGGGAAGAGCACAGGAGAATATGGTGATGGGTCACAGGTGAAACGGTGGCAGGAGAATTATGGGGATTACAATGATATAAGAAAAAAAATTAATTAAAAAATATATAAAAAACAAGTTTCATCCCTAAATCCGAATTACCTTGGACGAGAGCTGGCTATCGGCCAGCAGACATGGATGTTTAAAAAGGGATAAAAGCTGGAGCATAGATAGATATACACACACAGCAGACTGGTAAAATTCTTTGGGAAGTATCAAAACTGGTGAGTCAATTTTTTAGCTGGAATTAGTAATTTAACAAGTGTGACTTGGTCTGGGTATAAGAGAGAAAAGAGTTCAAGGGGCTGTGACAACCTCAGGAGTACATATCACAACTAAAGACATGAAAATCCAAAATTTTAAGAAGGCTATGATAGTCCATTGCAATCTCTACTTTACCTCACCTCTACACTGGCCAGCGCATTACTCTGAAGAGAAGTATCAGGTCATGTCTCACATGCTTAGAAACCATCCTACTTTATAAAAAGAGGTAGAAGCACACTGGTCCTCAAGAATGTTGTCTCCGTAGTGGCAAATGGGCTTTGGGCACATCGTCTATTTTCCCTCATAGCAATGACTCAGTTATTTTTGGCTTACTGAGATTTCCACATTTCAGGTTGTGCTGTTTAAAAGCAAAAACAACAAAACCCCTTTACTAACCTTATGCTTCCTCTTGCCTTTATTGGAAACTTTTTCTGAGGTTTGTTTCTGAGCATCTCTTGTGTGCTTTTCTGGCACATTTTTCTTTTCCCCCTTGGGTAGCTCTGCTTCTTTGTAAGGCTTTCCTGGTATTCTAGTCAAGAGATTCAGGTCAATCTTCACAATAAGTGGATACCTGTCATCAGGCTCACTGAGGGGTGAAAGAAGTTCCTTCTCTTCCATAGGAGAGAACATTCGTTGCCGAAAAAAGCTATCTTCCTCCTCCACTGAGGAGGGCTTAACAGGAGTCCTATTACTCTCGGGGTACTTAGGAGTTTGTGAGGAAGGAGGAAGGCTCTCGCTTTCATCCGAATCTGAGGATGAGGTATCTGTTTCTATGATTTCCCTTGATTTCTGGGAAGATTTACTCGTTGACTTGTATTTCTTTTTCTCAGTTGAAGGTCGAGGGGAAGATTTGGATTCCTTTTTAATATTGGGTTTCCGTGAGCCTTTGGTGGCTGCTTTGTGTCTGCTGGAAGGCATGCTGGTAGCCATGTCTACAGGAGTTTCACTTTCTATCTTCAGGCCTCCACGAGGCTCTTCAGCAGCTGCCTTCTCAGCCTTTTTGGGTTGTTTCTTGCCTACAGTCCTCCTCTGTGTTGTGCTGTCACTCTGTGCAGGAGACTTTTGTCTCCCTCGTCCACTTTCTGATCCCTTTTGGACAGTTTTGGAGTCTCGTCCAGGAGTAGTAGAACTCGTTTCTTTAGGTGCGCCTGGATCAGTATAACTATTCCCTGTGCCCTGTTCTCGGCCTTCCTTTTTATAGCCTTGAGATGATGGAATATTACTGTCCACAGATGAAGCTGGTGATACTTTATGTGGGTTCACTTTATTCAACCAATTATCAAGTTGCCATTTGTTTGTTGGTGGTGGTTCAGGCTGTAAAACAGAAATAAAGTATACTTTTTCCAGTACCCATATTATAGTCTTTATATTCTCAAGGAAAAGGAAAAAATAGATTTCTAATGCCACAAATACATTTGTTTCTCACCAAAGCAAAGGAGGTGAATATTAACTTTTAACTCTAACCACTTGAATGAGCTTAATGTTATAAATGGCCTTTAAATATTAAACATTCCTCTCATGAAATCAGTTTCTAAAGCAAAATTACAAACAATCATGCAGTGTATTCGAGAAAATAAATGATTTAGACCCAATATTTTTTTTACCACATTTTATCAGCCTACAGTAAAATTATACTATATGAAATGCTTCCTCCTATCCACAATAACATGATACACTGATACACAAAAATAAAACGGAAAAACATTCAAATCTAACCAACTTTATTTAAAACATTTACTATTTGTTAAGCTGCTACAATTCTAGAACTCCATTATAAATTAAATAGTTCTTAATCTAGACCAAAGACTTGTTAAATAACAAGGAAACGGAAATATCTAGGTTCTCTCTAAGATACACAATTCAATTTCTATTCTCTCAGAATACACAAGCTTCTTTCCCTCAACTTTACTATTTGGGCTAGGCTTAGCTGGCTGTCACCAGGGGCTTTGAGAGAGTCTATGGAAGGTATCCTCTGCTTTCCTCTTACCTCAGGAGATGCACTCTGGGATGGCTCATTTGCCTCACTGTCACTGGAACTACTTTCACTCTCTGAGTCAGATCCAGAGCTGCTTTCAGATCCACTGTGGCTGCTAGAATCATCCCTTGAGTTATCAGCTCCTTCACTATTATGATGTGAAGGTTCAGAGTTACTAAAAGAGATAAAACAGGTAATCTGACCAAAAGTTTATTTTTACAGTGACAACGGAAAAACATTCAAATCTAACTAACTTTATTTAAAACATTTACTATTTGTTAAGTTGCTACAATTCTAGAACGCCATTATAAATGAATTTTTTTTTAAAGATTTATTTATTTATTTATGCAAACACCAGATACAGTCAGAAGCATGGGAGGGTGAGAGAATTCACCAGAGCCAGAGAGGGAAGCAGAGCAGCCAGAAGGACTGAGGTACACTGCTGAGGGGAGCAGCGGGCGGCAGGAGAGGTCTGCCAGCCATGTGGGACCCTCCTCTGGTGGCCGGGGAGCAGCCAGGGATTGAACCAGCGTTGCAGAGCCACCGGGGAGGCCCTAAATGAAATATTTTTTAAAGGTTCTTCATATGCTAATTAGATGTTAGTACTTACCTTTCAACAACAATTTTATTGAGGGATAATTTGCCTAACATGAATTCACTCATTTAGAATATATAATTCACTGATAGTCAACTTACAGATTTGTATAACCACCATCACAATTGACAGTATTTACTTTAGTAAGGTCAATTATTCTATCACTACAAAGTGTTAGCAGGTTGACCCTATCAAATAAAGCAAGAAATAAAAGGATGCTTACCTTCCTGGTGTACTCCTTGGCATTGTCTTATCACAATCCTAAAATTAAAACATGAAAAGAAATATGTGAATGAATAAAGAGCACCCTATCTGCTAAATGTGAACAAGAGCTGAACTCTTAATAGAAAAAACTGACTTCCCTATGGTATGCATCAATATTTACTTAACATTTATAACACAGTGTTTTTACCTAAAGAGTAACTAAATTGTCAGAATAAGATAAAAAGCTTTAATAGTTCTTCTTGTCAACAATCTCATGAAAATGGATCATGTTCTGATTTTAGTAAATATTAAGGAAAAGTAAAATTTTAAAAATAAGAATAAAAAGAGTTGTTTAAACAGAGCAGAAAACTAATATTCCAATGTCAGAAAGCAGGAAGAAACTTATTTCAAGTAACTAAATCATAAATGTATTCATTATAATTCATATAAAATACAACAAAAACAAGTATTTCTAGGAGACTGGCAAAATCATATAGTAGTAGACATACCTGTTCCCCATCACTGTCTTCACTGCTGCTTAGTTTTAAGTCATCTTTTAACATACTAGAGGGAAAAGGCAGAAAGGATTATTATATTTGGAATAGTTTATCATGGCATACCAGAGTATTAAATATCTACCAATAATTCTAGAAATAATCACTGTGATAGAGATTGAATTGAAAAACAAAGAAAAGAACCGGCAAGTTGTACCCCATCTGGTTCAGTTCACATACAGAATAAAAACTGAGTAAGAGGAAATTAACAATCTTGTAAACTTTAAGTTTTCCATAAGTAAAATATATATCTTTCTTGTGTAGTTAAAAAAAGCCACCTTCTACAAAGTCTTATTACTCACTTCACCTTTAATTTTTTTCGACTGCAAACACATGAACTCATTTATCGCTAAAACAAATTACCCAACTCATACAGAACAGGCCACTAGGGAGATATAACTTCTCAAAAGAATGAAAATTAAAGCATAAGCTATTTTCTTTCTTTTTTTTAAAGATTGATCTATCTATCTATCTATCTATCTATCTATCTATCTATCTATCTATCTATCTATCTATCTATCTATCTATCTATCCATCCATCCATCCATCCATCCATCCATCCAAGCACTGGGTACAGTCAGAAGTGCGGGAGGGTGAGAGAATTCACCAGAGCCAGAGCAGGGAGCAGAACAGGCAGAATGACCAAAGTACACTGCTGAGGGGAGCAGCAGGTGGCAGGAGAGGTCTGTCGCGTCCTGTGGGACCCTCGCCCGGCAGCCGGGGATCGAACTGGTGCTGCAGAGGCTGCGGGCAGCTTCGCAACCCAGCACTCAACCTCTGTGCCACCGGGGAGGCCCAAAGCATAAGCTATTTATATCTTTGTCCCCATCATGAAGAGAGATTTGTATAACTATTGGCAACTGGGTAATTTGTGAAAATCAGAACACAAAGTCCAAGTTCAAGTGCCCTATGTTAAAGTGACAATTTGGACTAAGAACCTTGCTTTTAACAGAAATGACAATGTGTGTATTAAAAAATAACCAGGTCTCTGGTGAATCCTTTTACCCTCCCGTGCCTCTGACCTGTACCCCAGGTCTTGTATAAAAATAAATAAATCTTAAAAAAAAATAAATAGCCAGGTTCCAAATCTTCCCTGATCAAAATTCAAATCAATTTTAAAAACACAAATACTATAAGCTAATAGTTTCTGGAATCAGTGTTTGAATGTAAGTATAAAAATTAAAGTTTTCTTTAAGGCTGCAAAATCAAAATCAATATTAAAATCTGAGTATCAAACCAAAGAACACTTCTTGCCTTTATATAGGAGTGAAAAAAATTAATAAAAAGCTTAGGGAGAACTACAACTAAAAAAAAAAATGTAAATTTCTCATTAGCAGTAGTTTACCTTTCTGTTTAATATTCATGACAATCTCCAATTAGTAGGAAGGAAATTCTTCAGTCCAATAACTACTTGTACTGCCCCCTCAAAGCTTAACCAGAGTTTCTTAACCGGACCCCAAATTTAGAGTATTATATAAAAGGATCACCTAGAAACAAAGTAACCAGATAATGACAGAATTATGAAAAGATTAGCCCAATTAGGCAGGATTGGGAAAAAAAAAAAGAGTTTTCCTTTGGACAAGGGCTTAGTGCATCTCTATACAGATTTCTTGTAAAGAAATGTGCTTACTCTGAATTCTCTCAGTCCTTATGATTTAATAATGGCAGCTCGATAAATCTGCTTATACATGTGAATATGTAAAAGTTTTTACTAGGTTGCTCAAAGTCCAGCATTCTTTTGTCCCCCAGCAAGCAAAATGACAGACACCTGTAGCAGGTTCACTTCAGTTTCTTGGGTGTGAATAAATATGATAAGTAGGAATACAACTTGAATTCTTTAGCAGCGAAAGGGAACTGTTAATATTCATATGTTCTAAACTTCAATTCTTCCTATATGTAGCATAAATGGTAACAAGATTGAGGTTATCAGAACAGACTGTCTTTGCTTTAACCACTGAGTTAACCTAAGTTCTCAGGAATTAATTTTTTAGCTGAAATTTGTCTCACCCCAAATATTACACTATCACATTTTAATATATATTCCTGTTTTGGCCAAAGGTGGGACAATGCAACTTAGAGACAATGCAACTATGCTATGTTAACATTCTACATTTAGTGGCTAAATGGTGGGTTTGCCAAGAGTACCGTTGACTTTTTAAAATGTATTCTTTACTGAAAACAAACTACAAACCACACCTCATCTCAAAGAAAGGGAAGGTAGGGGCTTCCCTGGTGGCGCAATCAGCACTCTAAAGCAATCTGCAGCTATTGCAGCAGGAATTCAATCTCCAGCCAGGTAGGTGACCCACATGGCTCAACAGACTTCTCCTGTCTCATCTGCTGCTCTCCTCAGTAATGTATTTCTGTCGATCTGCCTGTTCTGCTCCCCACTCTGTATCTGCTGGTGAATCCTCTTACCCCCCCTACCTCTGGCCCGCACCCCAATTCTTGCATGCATAAATAAATAAATCTTTAAAAAAAGAAAAAGGGAAGGCAAATTATGGCACACAACCCAAATCCAGACTGCTATCTGTTGTGAAGAAACCTTTATTGGAACACCCATAGTCTGTGGCTCCTTTCACACTACACTGGCAATGCTAACTAGGTGACAGAGACCTTCTGGCCTATAAAACCTAATATTTCACTACCTGTTTCTTTACACAAAGTTTGCCTACCCCTGACCTTATAAGATTAAGTGTATATTTCTTTTTTTTTTAATGTGTATTTCTAAATGTTCTAAATACCCAGACACTATAGATAGATTTTAGAAAGTCAAAGACAATAAGCAATAACTTACGATTTAGACTGGTGGCCATTTGAAGTTTTAGAAGAAGGATTATATCTTTCTAGAACAAAAAGAATGCAGAAATCAGCAAATGAAGTATGGTCATTTGAACTATAAAATGTCTGTAAAAATATTCTGAAAGAAATATAAATCAAGACAAGATAGAATTATTTATCTATCAAATTGGTAATAGTTTACAATTTGACAGTATGAGATACTGGTGGAAATAGGCTTGCTCAAGTGCTATTGGTAGGACTGTAAATTCAGTATCTTTCTGGAGAATACCATTATCTTGTCAATACTATAAATCCATGTATCTACTAACCTAGCAACTGTAACCAATGCAGTTTACCTTACAGATATATCTGTAAACACATACACACACACACACACACACACACACACACAGATTTTTCTTATGGTATAGTTTGTAAGAGTAAAAGCTAGAAACAAATGTTCATCAGAAGGGACTAGTCAGGGGCCTCCCTGGTGGCCTAGGGGTGAAGTCTCATAGCTATCACTGGAAAGGCCCCATCCCTGGCCAGGGAGCTAACCCACATGGCGTAACAGACCTCTCCTGTCCACCTGCTGGTCATCTCAGCAGTGTATTTCAGTATATCTGCCTGTTCTGTTCCCCTCACTGCCTCTGGTGAATACGTTCATTCTCCAGAACCTCTGGCCTACAGCCCAGTTCTTGTATGCATAAATAAATAATCTCTTAAAAAAAAAAAAGGGACTGGTTATGGTACTTTCATACAGTATGATACCAACTTTAATCTTAAAAAGAATTAAGCTAGGGCCTCCCCTGGTGGCCCAGGTGGTTGAGTGCCATGCTGTGAAGCTGTCCGCAGCCTCTGCAGCGCTGGTTCAATCCCGGCCAGCGAGGGTCCCACATGGCGCAGCAGACCTCTCCTGTTGCACCTGCTGCTCCCCTCAGCAGTGTATTTCGTCAGTCTGCCTGTTCTGTTCCCCACTCTGTCTCCGGTGAGCCCTCTCACCCTCCCGTGAATCTGGCCTGTACCCCGGTTCTTATATAAATAAATAAATCTTTAAAAAAAAAATAAAGAAATTAAAAAAAAATTAAGCTCAAGTTTTATTTTGATATATAGTTTTAAAATAAACATAAAAATACAGGTAAATAAAAGAATAATTCTATCTGCCAAGTTAGTAATGGGCAGGGAAAATGGAGGAGGGGACAAAGGATGAGAGGTCCTTCTAAGATTTTTAAGAGGAAAAATGTAAACCTTCTGACCTATAACTAGCTATTTTCCACATACCAACAATGTTGGGTCCCTTTACCTTGTAACGACAGCTTTGAAGCAGAACTAAGAAATGGAAATATCAAGTTTATTTACATTAAAAAATTTTTTTTTAAAGTTTGTCTCTTTGTTTTCATTTCAGATCACTAAAAACAGTGATCAAAAAGTTTCATATTTTTACCTCTCAAAATAGTTTACAACCAATATGAAACTACCCTATTTAAGAAGCTATTGTTCTTGGCAAGAGAACACTTATTTTGCTACAGGGTAATATGGCAAAGCCCAGATATTTCCCATGTTTCCACTCCCACAGCCACCATCTCGTGGAACCACACTTATATTCCCCTTGGCTGCTTATATTCCCATTGGCTGCTTTCCTCTCAAGTTCTTCTGAGGCAAAGAAAGAAGAGGAAGAGAAGGGTTGAACAACAGACTTTCTTCCCAAACCAGAAGATCCAGTAAGAATGAATAAATTACAGGAAGAGAATAATCATGATCAGCTACAAAGACCCATTCTTACCTGGAGTTTTACCACCACAGAACTAAGCACCTTCATGAAGGAGATGGAATGACAGGAGAATGGTTCTTAGGTTTATGGGTGACCATCAAATTGAATTCATGATCTTTGAACTATTAGTTCAAATACTTAATAAATAAAATAGTTAATTTTGATATCCAGTAATCTAAAATTCTTTTTTTGGCATACCAAGATCAATTCAACCCAGTTCTTACCCCAACCATAAAAATTGGGTATTTCTTTAATACACGGTATGTATTATCACATCTTTTGGATATGATATCTTTTGGATATGATATCTTTTGGATCCATATCATGTATTGCTTTAATACATGATATGGTCATGAGAACAAAATGCTCAAAAAATCTCATTTGAAAACTGAGAGGAAAATCAATACTTACTTTGTTCTCCAGGTCCAAAATTGGACTGCTGAGACTCCTAAGGAAAAGGTACATAAAATTATAGTGACATTAAGAGAAAAAGATTCATTAGAAGAAAATGTTTCAAATTAAACTATTCAATTCCAGCTAATTCAATGAAAGATCCCATTGAGTTCCTAAGAGCGCATTTAAAAAAACACCAAAAGAATTTAATGATCCCCTTTGATCAATCTTGGCAATTTGGTGGTCAATAATGGACTATCCAGATCTTAATGCAAAAAACATCAAGCGCCCTACTAGTCTTTATCACTCATCAGCCTCATCCCTGGTACTTATATATTAATTTAGAGCCCTGGGAAAGCCATGATTTCAATTTAAGATTCTCAATCTTAAGAAAAAGTTTAATTAAAAAACTGGTAATACTAAAATCCTCATACCAGGGTGAAAATAATTGTACGACCAATTTAGATCCAAAGTGTTATTCTTATATCATTTTGCTCCTTTCCTGCTCCCAATATCTTACAATGAGCAACTTGAGGAAATGATTGCCCTTGTAAGCCTTCCACTACCACAACGCCTGGCAGGGTAAGCACCAGTAAAAAGAAGGCTAAAATGTCACTGTCACTGAAAGAATACGGTTTTCCAAAGTCATGATAAGAACAGCTGTTTTTGCATTTTTCTAGTTTATGTCTGTGATGCATAATGTAGTACTAAAATTACACAAGCATCCCTGAAAGTCTACTTAAAAATAAGCACAATTTTCCCTCAATTTCAATGTCAGAATTGTCTGTGAAAGAGAAATCCCAACAGTGAGTAGATGAAATACAGTTTTGCTGTTAAAAAAATGCTATATACTTACATCTATTATCAAATGATTTTCAATAATGATGCCAAGAGAAAACAACAGGAAAGAATAATCTTTTCAACAAATGGTGCTGAGAACAGTCATATGCAAAAGAATGAAGCTGGATGCTTACACCTCAGACAATATAAAAAAATAATCAAAATGGATCAGACACTTGAATGTTAGAGTTAAAACTACAAAACTCTTAGAAGAAAATGTAGTATCCTATCTTAACAATCTTGGATTTGGCAAAGAATCCTCATAAGTGACAACAAAAGCACAAGACATAAAAGAAAAAAAAAAAGATAACTTGGACTGTATAAAATGAAGAACTTTTTTTGCTTCAAAGGACACCCAACAATTGAAAGACAACTCACAATGGGAGGAAATAAATGCAAATCAGATATCTGATAAGGGACTAGTATCTATAATATATAAAGTTCTTACAAATGGTAAAAAGACAATCCAATGAAAAAGAAATGGGTAAAGGATCTGAACAGACATCTCGTCAAGGAAAATAACTAGTCAATAAAGCACATGAAATGATGTTATTTGACATCACTTGTCACAGGGAAATGCAAATTAAGCCACAGAGATAACACATCACACCCATTAAGATGACCAGAATAAAAAAGATATCATCAAGGGCTGACAAGAAGATGGAGAAATTGGAAGCCTAGTGGGAATGTAAAATATATAGTAGAACTGCTTTGCAAAACTTTCTGGCACTCAAATTAAGTAGAGTTACCATATGATACAACAATTCTATTCCCAAGTTTATGACCAAGTGAAATGAAAACATATGTCCACATTAAAACTTCTACACAAATGTTTACAGCAGCATTATTGATATGAGCCAAAAACCTGAAACAACCCAAATGACAATGATAAATGTATAAACCAAATGGGATACATATGTGCATACAATAATTTTTGTCAAAAAAAAAAAGAGCTACTGATACATGCTACAACTTGCAAGAACTGAAATCATTATGCTAAGTGAAAGAATCCAATTGCAAAAGATCATATAACGTAAGATTCCATATATATGAAATATCCAGAAAAGAGGAATATATAGACAGAGAATAGATTAGTAGCTGCACAGGGCTAGGAAAAGGACGAAAGGATAGGTAATAACTAAAGAGTAAGGAGTTTCTTTTTGAGGAGACTGTGGCAACAGTGGCACTACCTATATACTTAAAACCATTTAATTGTACATATTAAATGGGTACATTTAAATTGTACATTTTAAATTATACATGATATGTGAATTACCTCTCAATAAAGCTACCTTAAAATCCAATAGAGAACTGGGCCTCCCTGGTGGTGCAGCGGGTTGAGCGCAGCACTGTGAAGCTGTCCGCAGCCTCTGTAGTGTGGGTTTGATCCCGGCCTGCTGGCGAGAATCCCACATGGTGCGGCAGACCTCTCCTGTCTCACCTGCTGCTCCCCTCAGCAGTGTATTTCATCAGTCTGCCTGTTCTGTTCCCCGCTCTGTCTCTGGTGAATCCTCTCACCCTCCCGTGCCTCTGGCTTGTACCCAGCCCTTGTATAAAAATAAATTAAATCTTAAAAAAAAACAACAACAACAATAGAGAATTACCAAAAGGTAATTCCTATGAATGTGTTTAAAAATTAAAAGAACTTTCCACCACCCCTCTTGAATTGCTATTACCTTATACTCATTTACCTGCTAAGTGGCCTAAAAACTAATAATCCAAGCTTTTAAGTAATCTCTTTCTACTTTCCTTCACCTCTGATATGTCAGCTGGTCATCTAATGCAACTGGATGATCACTTGTCTTCAACATCAGCTATCTCCAAAGCATCTAATTCAACATAGTGCTATCTCCTTTCCAACTACACAGCAAGATTTCATGTACTCATTTTTTTTCATCTACAATAGTCATCTACTGGGTGTTTCGAACTTGATTTTCTTTCCTTCACTCAACTATAGTCTCCAGTTGACCAGTGTAAAGCCCAAGTCTTAGCATGCGTCATAATCACTCTGCTATTTTTCATAGTGTCTCTTTGTTTTTCCTAGATATGAAATCCAAACTCTTTTTTAAAGATTTATTTTTTTTATGCATACAAGTACTGGGATACAGGCCAGAGGTATGGGAGGTAAAAGGATTCACCAGAGACAGAGTGGAGAGCAGAACAGGCAGAGCTACTGAAATATATTGCTGAGGGGAACAGTAGGTAAGACAGGAGAGGTCTGCTGCACCATGTGGGTTAGCTCCCTGGCCAGGGATCAAACTCATGCCACAGTGGCTGGAGGTAGCCTTATAGCACTGACTTTAACTCCTGTGCCACTAGAAAGGCCCAAAACCCAAACTTTTTGATATGGGAAAATAGAATAATAAGCAAATACAGATAAAAGCCTTGTCCTCATGGTTTTAACATGTCAGTATCTTTGCAATTACACAAATAAAGGGAAAATTGCAACTGTGAGAAGGACAGTAAATGGTTAATACATACATAATATTATATAAGAGCTTATAATTAACTGTAGATGGGGAGGGAAGGGGGAAGAAGGAGAAAAAGAGCCAATATTGGGCAAGAAGATGATCAAAGGCAGCCCTCAGTTTGAGAATTAAAGGATTTATAAGAAGCAAACTAGGATAGGAAAGGAAAGGTATAGTTCAGGGCAGAAAACAGCATGTGTAAAGGCCAAAAAGGGGGCCTCCGTAGTGGCGCAAGGGGTTAAGACGCAACCTATGAAGCTGTCTGTAGCCACTGCAGCATGAATTCGATCCCTGGCCATCCAGGAAGCCACCCACATTGGGCAGCAGACATCTCCTGACTCGCCCACTGCTCCCCTCAGCAACGTGTTTCAGTCAATCTGCCTGTTCTGTTCCCCACTAAGTCTCTGGTGAATCCTCTTACCCCCCACACCTTGGGCCTGTACCCCAGTTCTTGTATGCATAAATAAATAAATCTTTTTTAAAAAGGGGGGGGAGTTGGGATGTACAGTAATAAAGACAGCCAATAGGAGAAAAAATATATTAAGTTGGAACTATCAGAAGCACCTGTACTTTTACCCACTTCTAATATAACTAATTTTGTATACTGCATGATTTATTTTAGTAATTGTTTCTCTAATCTCCAGTTTTGCTAAGGAAGCCTACTTCAATACTGTTTCCTGACAAAGGAATGCATTTTAAGTTTGTTCTCTCTGCACTGGATTTCAGTCATTTTCAATGGAGCAAAAAGACCAAGTTTTTGACAATGGTATATAGAACACTGGGAGAAACCTCAAGAGGGATTATTTTTTAAGTTTATTTATTTATGCACACAAGAGCTGAGGTACAGGCCAGAGGTGTGGGGGGTGAGAGGACTCACCAGAGACAGAGCGGGGAACAGAACAGGCAGCCTGACCAAAATACACAGGAGAGGTCTGCTGCGCCATGTGGGTTGCTCTCTTGCCAGCCAGGGATCGAATCATGCTGCAGAGGCTGTGGGCTGCTTCATAGATTGCGTCCCAATCCCCTGAGCCACCAGGGAGGCCCTCAAGAGGGGTTTTTAATAAAAACTTACTAGTCTTGATACATGGTTTAACGGCTGAACTGAGTATCACATAACCCAAAATATCATTGAGTATGAATCATGATGCTTTCATTGTTTCACTGGTTACTATTCTCAAGGAACATTATACAGGAAAGCACAGAAATGATTAAAAAAAAAAAACATTTAAACTAGTGATGATAATCTGGTTTTGTTTTTTTTTTTAAATGATTATGGCATCCTATTTCTACTTTATACCGTGGTAGATAAAGAGCTCATAGTAGAAGGAAATTCATAGGTTGGCCAGTTTTTTGCTTGCTCAGAAATGTATTTCAGGGCCTTCCTGGTGGCACCGTGCTGCACGCAGCCTCTGCAGCGCAGGTTCGATTCCCAGCCAGCCAGGGAGATGCCCATATGGTGCAGCAGACCTCTCCTGTCATGCCTGCTGCTCCCCTCAGCAGTGCTTTCAGTCTGTCTGCCTGTTCTGCTCCCCACTCTGTCTCTGGTGAATTCTCTCACCCTCCCGCACCTCTGGCCTGTACCCCAGCTCTTGTATAAATAAGTCTTTTAAAAAATTAAAAAAAAAAAAAGAAATGTACTTCAGTGCTACTTTCAACAAAATAGTTTCACTGTATGTTATTTTTTTTTAAAGATTTAATTATTTATGCATATAAGAATTGGGGTACAGGCCAGAGGTGTGGGGGGTGA